CGATTTTATTGCAGCGAATAAACAGTAAAAAGTGAGTTTTATCATAAAATACCGGCAAACCTTAGCCGGCATAAAATTTAGCGAATGGATTCCTATGAAATGGGAAAATCTGGAAGTGGATCCTACAAAAAAACTGGTCTGAGCAGAAATGCGGTAAGTCTTTAGATCATTGTTTCCCAACCTATGGGTCGCGACCCAAATCTGAGTCGCCTAGAAATCTTCTTAGTTCGCTTTTTTTTTAAATCATATTCATGTTTTCGATTATGGCAAAAAAATAGAAGCATTTAAAAGTATTCAACTTGAAATACGAATACTGTAAAATGGGCGCTTCAGAAGTATGTGTATCAATATGGAAATTAACTAGTTTGTTTTGCCTACTTTAAATCAAGTTGTGTATAGAGACTGAAACCTATAGGCAGGAGTCTATTCACTTGGCTTACACAGACAGTCCCGAAATCGTAATAGAACTAAAATAAGGAATCGGTATAAAATTTTGGCCTAACCCTAACCTGGTACACATACTTCGGAAGTACCGTTAAATGATAATATTTTTACTGCTAATTTGACATATAAACAATAAGACAGACTATAATTTATTGTGTTGAAATTTCAGGGGACCACCAAAATAACACAATTTGTGACATAGAATATAATCGAGAATATTGGCAATTCAGAAACGAAGTATTTTGAATATTTAGGAGAAATCAATATTATAGACATGCAAAGCTGAAATATATTTTTTGATTATGTGTTGAACATTATTTTAATCCTGCTTCTTATCAGATTTTATCTTTGCAATATTTTACTACTTATATCAATCAATGAGCTCTGATAAAAATTTGCGTTTCAAGTTATAATTTGTGTTGATTATTCGAAATAATTCTGTGAAGAATATGGGCAATATTTAGTGATTAGCATGTAGATTCTTCGTGGATTCATGGATTCAGACTCAACTTTGCTGTTAGTTGGAAAGTGTAAAACATCGTAGTATGAGTTTGTAGGCACGCTAAGGCCAAAATTTGGATTTTGTTTACTTGGTGTTCGCGTAATTGGAAGCTGACATATTTGTTAATACGAAACCCAAAGGCCGTTACCTATTGATACTGGCTGCCTATGCTCTAAGAGTCGGAATTGTATTTACATTCCATTTCAGTATTATTCATTCCTATAAAACAGAAGATCTGCCGACGTTTCAAGGTCGTTGATCGTGACAGTACCAGTTTATATTTTGCAAATAATTATTTATTACTATAAAACCAGAAGAAATACTAGATGTAAAGATGTTTTCGTTTTTGATTTCTGACGATAAAGGCGCTATTGAGCTGCTGTCAGAAGATTAAAAAATGAATGTTTATAAGCATAAATATTCTCTAAATGCAGAATCGTGATGATCCGTCTCAGTACTTTACTATACCTTGGAAACACATCAAAATGGGGTCTCCGATTCGTTCATGCACGCATGAAGATATTTTTACAAGGTGATTCGAAAAGAAATAAAGGTTAAAAATCTTCATCATGTTCCACTTCTTTCTTTCTGACCGACCTCACATCAACTTTTGAATAATGTACCAGACTGAATTTTTGCGAGAAGAATTTCGGAGAGTGGGATATGGCTTTGTCCAGACATAGAACTAAGTAGAAAGTTCATCTATATTATGAAAAAGCTCTATTGAACAATTGTCGCTCCCGAAGTATGTGCATCAAGATGGCGCACAACCTGAACCCTAACCTGGTACACTTACAATGTTCAGGTTGTGCGCCATCTTGGTGCACCTACTTCTGAGGGTCCGAATAATTCATGGAGCACAATTTTGCCAAAAATATAGGGAAAAAATAGTTTACGCGAAACAACTCTACAGTTTTGTTTTTAAATTGTTCTGGTATGGATTTGGACAAAAATCCGCATATCCAACGATAAAATGCTTTGCTAGTATATTACTTAAAGTAAAATTATTCACAAGAAATTCTGAAGTGCACTTATACGCAGAAGTCTGTCGAAGCGAATAAAAACGTAACCAAGACAGCGATTGGAGGGCGCCGACTTATCGATCTTCCGCAAAAAAAAATATTTAATTAATTAATAACTTGCTAATTATACGACATAATTCCGAGATATGATGAATGCACATGCAAAATTTGGAGCAGATTCAACCTAGTTTTCGTGAGATATTGCGTGACATACGAAAGTGTCTGACAGACAGACCAACAGACAAATACCTATCAACATACTTACCGATCAAGATCGATAAGTAACAAGGGCGGTTATTTGCAAACTAGACTCGAAGTCGTCTATCCGCGACTCGAGACTCGAAGAAAAAGTTTAGCGTTGAAAAATCTACTAGGACTCGGACTCGACTTGTAACTCAAAAAACTAGCGACTTGAATTGGGACTCGGGGTTCAAAGACTCGTGTCCAATACTGGTTATTTTCTTATAGTTTGTTAAAGTCAGTAGTGTATTTACAAGCGTATTTCTAACGCCTAGTTGTTAGATCCTAGTAAAAGTGCATTTCATTTCCGTTATTATTCGGCTAATATGCGTTCTTAAATTTAATAACCATCCTAGCAGTACATTAATCTTATGACAAATGCATCTCAACACCCGAATAATAATAGGGCAATAAAATTTTTGTGTAGCTTTATAATATCAATCAAGAAAGTATTATGAAAGTATAGTATGCCGACATAAAGAGCTCGAGATGTTTAGCAGTAGTTTGGCAAGTTGGATTATCCATGTTCTGGTTTACGATTAGACAGTTAGTCTATGCTATGTAGTGTTGTGTATTATGTATCGAAATTCAGTGAAGTTCCAGTGATATATCTCACCACCAAGATAGAGAAGTGATAAGCGAAAAAAGAGAGAGTAAATAAGTTGACCAAACAAAAAACATGAAGGTTCTTATATTTATTCGAATAGCATGACTTCTGTCTTTAAACAATTGTGTCTATTTGAGAGAAAGATGAAACAATAAAGCTTATTCAAACAGCGTGTGGTGTTTTTTCGCTTACTTCCGCCTTTGATTGTAAGCTTCCCATTCCACATAAAGATACAAGATAGTGAACACGAAACAAAATTCATTCACCTCCAGTTTCATCGCGCAATACCCAAGAACTACCCATATAACAAATTGCTATATATAGATTTAAGTTGCGCATTAACGTAAACACGTTCCAAACAATTCCTAATGTCCTCAATTCGGCGCACGGACGCTTCAGACCAGAGTGTGTATTATTATATACACTATTGCCTCCTTCGTTGTGCGATATTAATAGGAGCGTTGACTATAACTAAAGTCCGCGACGTCATACATAATTCCTACCGCTGATGACCTATCTTTGACTAAGCTCGGGGATGTTAAACTATTAGTTATATAAATACCACACGCGTAACCTTAACAGCAAACATCATATGTTGATGCCATTTACTTGTGCACTACTAATTCAGTCGCACTGATTGAGACTTTTTCCAAATACTTTTATTTACTCTCCGATGCTAGTTAATTTGCTTATTTTATTGAATTTACGTCCACTTGTTTGCTTTGCAGTTTTCGCCGTTACGCTGGAATCTCTCATTCGTCATTATTTACAGCAATATGCACGTTATCTTACTGTTTACCACCAAAATACTGCTTCCAGACGGCGTTTCAAAGGGCTTTAAAAACAGAGTATGGAATTTTGTTTGCATTTGGAGTTTGAAAGCTATGACCGCCTATAATATTTGACATGATGTTTTTACATTTCCTCTCTTAAAAGGACGAAATATTACTGATTATAGTACTATTATGTACCATTTGCGAATTGGCCATTTGGAATTCTGGTGAACCTCCAAATCTTAATTTCTAAAGAGGTTATGATTCGAAACCGCAACAATTTTGTGATAAACAAATGATGTCACCATTTTGACATAATCAATTTTCAGTTTTCTTCGAGTTGAGTAGGGATTAGGTAAAGATGCAGAATAATAAGAATGCGGCAAATGGGTCATCGGTGACCACAGGGTGGGTAAGAAACAGAAAAATTTATGAATTCGTAATACGTGATCATTAGCACTGATTCACCCTGTTCTGTTGTTGTTGTTGTCGATATGCCCCTTATTGCTTGCGTAAAACTAGTCTAGAATTTCATTTTTTTCGGAAGTTTATTCATCTTCGTCTGATCAGGAAATGTATTGTTATACTGTACTTAAATTAGAATTTGGGCCTTGAATAGTAAATGGAAGTTTGAATATAACCTCACTTAGACTATATGCAACATGGGAGTTCCCTACATGTCAGTGGTTTATTGTGTAGAAATTTGTTAAGATCGAACTCACGAATATTTTATATCTATGGATGTAAGAAGTGAAAATTTGTTCTTTCGTAGTCTATTTACTTCATATTTATTTCAATTATTTTAAATAAAAGTAGGGGTTCGTTTCTGTGACTCCCAGGTCAACGTACCTGCTCAATTGTCAAAAACAGTTAAACAGATTCATGATTCAACAATCACCTCAATCTGGGTCGGTGTAATTCTACTCAATCACTATCCAGCAAGGTACCAGCAAACAATGATGCGTTTGTTTTGTAACTCTTCATCTATTAGCGGTGTATAACACAATCATGCTTGAAAATCGCATCAACTTTCAAAAATTCGATTGACTGGGACACTGTGTTTACGTCATATGCACGAGTTGGCAGTCCGAAAGAAAAAGGCAGGAGGAGACAACATAATTTATGAAAGGCTATTTGTTTGCCGTACCAATTCGTTTTCGCTGTCAATCTTTGCGCTGTAATCGTATTTCAGTTTTAATATTGCTAAGTTGTGAAAACCAGTTGTCCTCAAGTGATGTTCAGAAGTTATTTTGCGCGTCAGAGGTGGCTTGTAACAGATATATCAATACTTTCTCAAATTTCAGGTTCGGGTTTGGGGACTTTGATTTAAATAATTTCTGTATGACTATGACTATAGTTTGTCATAATTTTGGTCCAACGAATTTATTTGTATTTTATTCACGTTGGTGTTACGATAAGTTCAGTCAAATGAACAATGGAAAAAAAAAACTACGCTGAAAATAACAGTACTTATGAAGGAATTAACATAGGACAGGTGTTATAGTGAGACCTAACAAGGATTCGAGAAAAAAACTGTCATCAATTATGTAAAAGCGATAAACGCAGCCAAACAGGAACAATACCATTCAATTAATTAAGGTATTTCATTTATTTTCAAAACACGGTCTTTCAGTAGTACGTGGGTTTCGGGGTTTGTTTTTATGATTTTTTCATGGTGTTAAATTCAAATCATGGACTCGATAACAGTTTTGACTTACGAAGCTAGCTTTCACGGCACGGCGAAAATTTTTAAGAATTCTGCGAATAATATGGAAAAAATCTGCTATGACGTGATGGGTAATTTTCTACGATTTTATTGCAGCGAATGAACAGTAAAAGGTGAATTTTATCTAAAAATACCGCCAAACCTTAGTTGGCATAAAATTTAGCAAATGGATTCCTATGAAATGGGAAAATCTGGGAGTGGATCCTACAAAAAAGATGGACTGAGTAGAAATGCGGTAAGTTCTTTAGATCAGAGTTTCCCAACCTATGGGTTGCAACGCAAAACTGAGTCGCCCATGAATCTTCTTCGGTCGCTTGTTTTCTTAAAAACCTCAAGTTGATTTTATTTTTTATTTGGTAACGAAATGTTGCTCAATAGTAGGGTTAGGCCATAATTTCAGGTACAAATACTACGTGAGTCACTTGGCTAGTCCACGAACTCCTAATGGAAAGAAAATAATAAATATTGGAAAAGAATTATGGCCTAACCCTAACTTGGTACACATACTACGTTACGTTCCGTTTCAACTTTGGTATTTATTCGAAATGTGTTTCTAGATAATATACAAACGTTGACTGCCGCTGTCTCTTCCCCAGACTCAGCCTGTTTCTAAGCCTGTTTCTAGAGTTAGGCCATAATTCCAGATACAAATACTCACTTGGCTAGTCCCCGAACTAGTAATGGAATGAAATTTGGTATAGAAATCTTGCTCAATAGTAATTGTACATGTGGCACGTATCACAGCGTAAGAACTTGGCACCATCTATTGCACACGTAAAGCCTTGCCACGATTTCAAAAACTCTTCGATGGAAAACAATTGCAGCCTCTTACTTTGGGTATATGGAAAAATGAGTGTTATATAAAAATGAATATGTTTTTATCAGTAATTTGATTTAACTTGGATCCTGTATATTTGATATTTCTTGTTTTTGGCAGATATTTGCAATTGTTGCCGCTGTCAGTGTTTCGATAGCCGTAGGATTGGGTGTTGGACTCGGTGTCGGACTCAACAAGGACCCGGTCATCGAATATGTATATGGTAAGTCTTTGTTTTTGGAAACTATGTATTTACTCTTGTCGCTGACTTCGAAGTTATTTTGACCCATCAAAATCATTTTATTTAAAAGTGCTCAATACCCTTTTTGAGTGGTGAAATTGATTGATTTAGGTGTCAATTTTAAATAATTTTGCGATACATTACACTGAAATTATGAGATAAGTTCATTGAACAAGGGGTAAAAGTAATATATGATTTTGTAAAGCGTACGATATTTATTACAAATGTATATGCCATGCACTCGGTCTTTTCCGATTTGATGACTGAACTATCGCATAAGTTAGATTACTTTACTGATTCGTGAATGTGTATTTAGTCACGTCGACTCCAAAGCAACCTCCTAAAGAATCCACTACAGTTACAACCACCACGGAAGCCCCACCATCAGGTATGCAAACTAGAATTAGTGTATACTGAGAGAGCAGTAATATTTTTTATTTATTTGGTCTATTTATACGGCCTTCGCTTCTAACAAGACTCTGCACAAGCTAATCACAAAACAAATTACTTTTTAGTTCATTTATTGTGTGTGTTCCGTTATCTTACTACTTTATTATGTTGCGCGGGACATGCGGGTAATAAAACCAACTGTCATACCACGCAGGTGAGGATTGCTTTTAAGCGGAGAATTGCGACTTGAATTGTACATAAAAACCTCGTTTGACATGGGCGAGACTTGATACTAGCCCAAGCATCTAGTCCCATGTTTAGCGACCATGCATGGTCTGGATATAGAGTTTACAGAGTAGGGAAGATACATTTGTACTTTCTGAATTATAGAATTAAATAAGAGATGCTAACAACAAAGATGAACACCTTAAAAGGCCTAAAGCTTTAGTGTATCGTAAATTCTGTTACCGGTAGTATTTAGAATACGTGTTTACCCGAAAATGAGACCTAGCCTGAAAATAGGACCTAGCCTGGATTTTAAGAATTATTTTAATATAAGCCCTCCATTAAATTAAGAACATAGTCAATAGCGCGAAATGTTTTCGACCTAGTTTTAAGGTAAACACGGTAGCTCACTAACTCTTCATTGACAACCTTCGATAACCCGATATTTTACGCAACAGAACTTTACTGTCAGCTCTGAGACACGGACAAATTAGTCCAGATCCTCAAAAAAAGTATGTAGCCGAAATATATATATATATAATGCCTACCTCAGTATGATTTGATATTAATCACACATGGAATAACAAACACATGGAATAACAAAATATAAACCAATATAGTAAAAACGAATTTATTAGTAGGCTCCTACTGTTCTAACAGAAGACCACCAGGGTCTGGCTAACGTTATTAATATTCCGGTTTCACCATTCCTATCCCCACTTGCTACGTCATCCAAAAATTACGTCACTACAAATCGTTATGCTACACCCACTGGAAGGAAGTACTTGTGGTGCTAAACTACACTAGACACGAATTCAAAAAAATATTAATGTTGACTAGACTGAAGGTATCGGAAATTGGCTAGCTTACCTGTTGTATTCCTTCGATTCATTTATGAAAAGATGATTTCGGCGTGAAATTCCAAGTATATAGAAACCAGTCATTGGTAACCCATATATCCCATGCAGGTGGTTGCCACATCCCCATTTCTTGTTTGTGGTATGTGTTGCTGGATTCTGCTCATTATAAATTGTCTTGATTAGGTCATTGCCCCAGCATTCTATAGTTATTCTAAATCTAACCTAACCTAGTATAAACATAATCGAGGAAAACATATCAATTAATGATAAAATAAGTATAATATAATCCTATGTACCTAAAAACAAATATCAGAACGCCTGATTCTAATCCTCTGACTTAAAAAGTACCCTAGTACGGCTTAAATTCGACAAAACCGAAAGTATTCTGAAATTACATGAAAAGACTGTTGCCAGATTTCCACATAAAAATTATTGAAATTCTACATTCCCAATAAATATTACACAATAATGCGAGTACTTGAATGAAAATATATTGAACTTGAGACTTTTATCACGGAAAATTATATTAGCAAAGTCTATATTGTTTATATTTTCTAATAAACTTGTAAAGTTGCTATTTAGGCAACGCATTTCTGGTAGAACATATAACGCAATTTTACTTTTATGACGAAACAAATTGAATTATTGTAACGAGCTGCAGAGGTTAAAATGAGGTCGATTTTTAAGGCATTTGTAATAATATCCCTGGCTTTGGATGAAGGCCATAATATGCTGCTCGAGTTTTAGAAATGTCAAATAATTACGGTTTTCTGGTGTTGATTCCACATGGGAACTAGGGTTTTAAAGTAAAACTACTATTATCTCATGGAAACATCTATACAATCAAGCTTATTTGGGGGTATTTGACGTTAGGTGAGCGTTAGAAAATTCAGACTTCAGACAAATATAAAATAGCATTATAGGTTTACTCACTATATATTTGGTTATTTCCTATTTTATTTGCCCAGTGTATTTAAGCCAAAGTAAAATCTGTTATTAAGTCGTAGCGGCATATAAGAACGATTGTATGTTTCCGCCTTGACCAGTGATTGATAAATAAGGTATAGGCCAGGCTGGTTCAATCCCTGGCCCGCGGACTACATGTGGCCCGCCGCTTCATTATCTGTGGCCCGCATCACATTCAGAGAGTAATCAAAAAAACGCATTTCGTGTTGTTTCGTCATAAAATTAATCAGAAAAATCTTTCGAGATTTTGTCATCACTAATGTCACTGAATTAAATAGTGTTATTACTAGCTAGGAAAACTGACGAAGTTGAATGATGTGCTTGGCATTCTAAATTGTTATCTGGCTTTATAACTTTTTAGTCGGGAATATATGCTAACAATATAGGCATCATAGAAAACTAAAAATCGAATACGGATTCTATTAGCCTAGAATGGCTATACCTAATAACTATGTGTTTGCACAATAAATGGGTTTGTTCTGTATTGCACTGTTTACTTATTATTGGCACTATTGTGGCCCGCGAACAATACAAAAATAATTTTGTGGCCCGCGGAGCCGACAACCTTGAACCACCCTGGTATAACCATTGACATGAAAAGACTACTTACGGTCGTCCCAATAACAGAGTGTTTACCACAGACTTATCAATGACTGCTTGTCCAAATCATGTTATGAGCGTATGTGGGGTCTCGACATAAACATTCCGCGCATTGCTTCATTCAATTATATTTAAAAACAAACCACATCCCTTTATTTCTTCTTTTAAAATTCGTCGGGTGTTGTTAACTCGTTTCATATAACCTTTGGACGTGGTGCCTTGCGCTAGAGAGACCCAATTAGTATTAAAATTTGAACGTGTAGGAGAGTAATTTTCTGCATGTTTATCTTTAATTAAAGCATTTTATCAGTTTTTTGCCAAATGGATAAATGTGAAACAACTCTTTGTACAGTGTATCTCAGCCGTGTTTTCGAGCGACCTAAATTTTAAGAAGATTAAAATATTGTGAAATCTCGCCACTCAAGAATGTGCTCAAATACCAAGCGCCATGTGGTGCTTTTATGATCGCAAAATTAAATTAATAATAAATAAATAAATAAAAAAACAGTGATCTTCATATAGCATTCATTTCACCAAAATAGTTACACTGCATTTTTTGTCATGAGCGAGATTTTGTAATCGCGGCGTGGCTTTACTTAACATAGCAAAATAGTTTTTACGCTGTGATGCCGATTAATATTGGGCAACAGTACAATATTTTGAAATTTAGAATACACAATAAAAACCAATAGGAAATAAAATCAATGATAACTTTTAAGTTTTTGTCAAAAGAAACAAGCGACTCAAATGGATTCCAGGCGACCGAACTTTGTGCCGCGAACCGTAGGTTGGAAAACACTGGCTTAATTCACAAGTACATTAGGAATGCAAATATTTTACTCCAGAGAAAAAAATATTCTCAAACTCTGGAATTTTCAAACGTGGTCCGTCGGAATAATGCTTATTTTAAACTCTAGTTATCTTTGCACCATGCCCGAGAAGATGTCTTTTTTCTCTTCCGAACAACGGCAGTAAGTAAACACGGTAACCATATTCAAACGAGATTCTGCAAACATCTATAATGCGGGCTTTGTAAAATTTATTGAGGTTTGATACGAGTTTGCTCAAAATAAGGTCGTATCACCCTTTAAAGTTTTCCGGCATTTTAAAAAACTATTGCATCATTTAGAACCGTTTTCGACCATGTAATCGAACATGGCCGTTTATAAGATACCGTTATCCGGTGTTTGTCCTGTATTTATGCTATTAAAAAGACTGCACGTGCAGCATTTTAAACGTACGGGGCCATTAAGGTTTATTGGCCATTATAATTCGGATACAGCACATTGTATAACTATGTTGCACCCGGCGTCGAATGGTATACTGGTACACTTCTGGTTTAGTTCGGTAAAACAAAATTTAACATCTTTTTAATGTAATTTTACAGCATTTGCAATGAGACATAAATTCTTACTCGTTTTCCAACACCATTTTACGTAAGCGTCGTATTACTTCATTAGGCTATACAAAAAAATTTGGTCATGTCCCTCGAACAACAAACACTAAGTTTTGCTCGCAACGCATTTTCATGGGTTATGAAAGTAGAACAAACGAAAGTAGAACAATAAAGTCAACGAATTAAACAATGTACCTTTGTTCGCGCTCCTCAAAGGATCGCCAACGTTGGAAAAACAGCCTGAGTGTCTTTACCATATCATGATGGTTTTTTTTGTATAGAAATTTGAAACTTAGGCAAATTACATTATCTTGCTTACATCGATTAAGCTCGATATATTCCACCATCATACACAGTTAGGCACGACTTAGAATCGTTTAGATCTGGCGTGGGCAAACCACTGGCAAAATTCATCCCGTTTGGTAGTTCAACCCGGCCCGCCTGATGCTACCACAATCAAACTAAAACCAAATGTTTTAGTTAAAATATAGCTCAAGGAGTTTGTTGAGATTGCAATTAAATTCAGTTTTGGCACCACTTTTGCTTTTATAACACTGTAAATATTAACAGTTGGGGTTACGTGAAACTAATTACCTTTCCTTGCTCTATGCCTTTGCGCAGATGAATCCGTATACGTATAACGCAAGGATGCTATAGCAAGAGTGAAAATAACTATTCTATTCAATTCAAGAGTCTTGCTGCACGCTTACACAAATATATTTCTGTAACGTTTTGCCAGCCTTCTTCAGATAAGCACTTTACATAGTTGTAAAATCCTTGCCTGGAGAAGGTTGACCTCGGTCAGACGAAACGTTACAGAAATATATTTGTGTGAAGTGGGCAGCAAGACTCTTGAATTGAATAGAACTGTAAATATTGTTCATAAAATGTAACTTTTAACGTCACACTTACATGGCCAGTCTTAGTGGGCACAATTTTGGCCTCTGGTCCAAAGACCTTGCCCGTCCCCGGCTTATATCTATTGTTGGTCGGCACATATTTAAAACATGTAGTTTATCTTTGCATTATAGTTTGTGGTAAATGATTTCGCGTCAATCGATGCCACTATGTGACCTCATAATTATGTGCGTTACCAAATTATGAACTCATAAACAAACAAACAATAATGTTTGGTTAAATGATTTCGCGCCAACCTATGCCACTTTATGACCTCATAAATATGAGCGTTAACAAATTATGAATTAATAAACAGACAGACGATACGCATTATTTGACGTAATAATTTACAAATTGTTAACTGGCGTTTTATTTTTTTGGTCGGAAATATATGCTAACATAATAGGCTTCATAAAAAACTAAAAATGAATCTAATAGCCTAGGTTGGCAATCTGCAGTCATATCATAAACACGAATTTAAAAAGAAGCTGACCAATTCCAATAAATTTCTGACTGGGTATGTCATAGTCATAGTCAAGTTTATTTTTTCCAACCAGTAAAATAATAAATGATGCAAAAAATAAGCAAAAATTCAAGAACATAATTTTACTGGGGAAGGGAAGCCGTGGGGAACCAAAGTAGGTTATCTAGCAGCGGCACCCAAGATTCAACTATTTAATTAACATATAATTTTAGTAGATCAATATAGCATAGAATAGTTTAGCCGTAAATATTTACTAATACGGTTTTAACGAGAAATCGTCATGACACTAGGGTGTATCTGAGAGCCACGCAATACATCAGATAGTAATTTGGGGTATTCCCCGTTTCGTAGCTTACAGGCAGTGAATAAAAGCGTGTTATGGGGAAATATGAGAGGAAAAATACCACAAAGCTTGCTTAATATGTTTGCAAGTTGTGTCAGTGACAATCAAAATGGCATTTTCTCTTCATGGCGCTTTCTTCGTTATAGAGAGTTTGAAATCTTACGCTAAATCTAGATATAGTAAGATTTTTGCATGTTTCAACTTGATAAGTGACAAATGATGTTGAATGTGTTTGGACACTAAAGTGGTTTGTTTTGTATTGCACTGTTTACCTATTCTTGGCACTATTGTGGCCCGCGGACAATACAAAAATAATAATTTGGCCCGCGAGGCCGACGACCTTGGACCACCCTGATCTATAACATCTTTCACCTAAATATTTAATCAAACACTGTGATTTATGTTTATTCAAATTTATATTATTTTCACCATTGTCATTTTATTGAGATGCCATGGAAACGGGCAAAAATATGGACTTATATAGAATACGAGCGACTATGACCTATGTTGTAAAATAAATCTTCCATTTCTAACAGATGGGACTTCAAATCCAGAAGGAAATGAGTTATTATACTCTCAGGGTCAAATCTCGTACTGTCAATTTTGCTGAGTCACCAATTTTGAGAAACTTGAAAAATGTAGTCTGCGGGTCCTTTTTGAGCTAATATATATCTGGAAGTAGCGGGAATTTACATTTGGTCCTATATACGTAATGTGTGTATAGTACAGGTTGTGAGACTTTTTATTTGTGTGGTTTCATGGGTAACCTTTTTTTCTACCTCATTAAACATTAAAACGATGTTTTGGTTATTTTGCCGATTTTCAATAGGCCTGAAGTAAGTATTAAATAAACTGGCACTCTGACTTCTGCACAAATTTTATTACTGTAAGGCTAAGCAATACTGTGCCCACCGACAAAAAGTCGCACATCCTCGGGATAGACAAAGGATGGAATTTTATCGAAAAAGATTGGGAACCGCTGCTCTAGTCAGACAAAGCATTACAGAATTAAATATATGGAATCAAATTTTTTTTGTTGTCTGTCAAATAATTTGACTTTGACTTGAGACTTCGTTATGTACAAAATGTCAAAATTTCTACTCCAAAACAGAATAATTTTAAAATATGACTCCTCTCTCGATTCCAACAAAAACCACAGACCGCGAGAATTATTTTCATTATGCGTGAGTACACCTAAAATACCTTTAGGTCCTGTCAGGCGAGACATATTTGTAGATGTTTTATTTATGGAATAACATGTATTTTATCTTTGCATCGTTCGTGTTAATCATTTCTCGCCAACCGCTGCCATTCTTGTGGCCTCATAAATATGTTTGTTATTAGATTAGGAATTAATAGACAAACAGACAATACTTGGTACCGAAACATTCTTTGACGTAACAATCGATAACAATGTTTGTCAGCAATTAACTTTTATCACGGAATAATATGTTTTACAATTACCAAACAATAAAACAAACTCCCTAATCAAATGTAGGCGCCACAACAAGCACAAGTAAACTTATCAGTGGCCATATTTGAACCACGAATAAAATGTGCTTATTCGCGCGCTTTTCTTGTACGGTTAGCTTATGGGAAGCTAAAACATGATCAACGGCAACGAAATTATTATCTTCAAAACTTCCCTCCGGGAGCCACTCCTGTTATAAAAAGACTTCCGATCGGGGGTCGTTGCACCGAATAATTAATGTATTACGACACAATCGATTAGTAGAATTATTCTCCCTCCGCCGCTGTAAATATACTGTTAAAAATTTGCAGCAATGCTGTCGAAAATAGTAATTTAATAGTAATTTCAACTTGTTGAAGATGTTTTTAAATTAAATGTTTTAATTGGGCAAACCTTGAAAAGATGTCTTGAAAAAATGAAGGAAACATATATTTCTAATTTTTTAATTCTTATAGTGTTTGTACTTTTACTACAACAGAATACTTCAAAGTTTTTTTTTTCACATTTGAGTGACATATTTTCTGAGGTTTAGCACAAAATACTGTGTATTTATTATAATGATAAAAGGAAATTCGAATCTTTTTTTCTGTACAATTTACAATTTTACTGATTCTGAGTTTATATTGGGAGTGAACTTTTTGACTAATTTTCCAGGATCTTCGCTCCACACAAGGCTCTGTGGAAGCCGCCATAGATATACTATCAGCTACTTTTATGAAAGACCACACTGGCATTACTTATGTCAGAGGTTCCCGAACCTTCTCGATAAATTCATCATTTGTCTATTTTGGAACTTATTACCCCCCCCCCCTCAAAGCAAAAAACTTTTTAGGGAGGAATTGCTCTCGGGTTGGGAAACGTTCATTTATGTTGCCTCTGAGTTTGTGATAATTAAAGTCAACTCTTGTGGTTTTTGTAATATGCTACAAAACAGAACTAGAATTACATACCCGCCTTATTAATAATATCAATAATTTTTACCACTTCAGGTGGAGTTTGGGAAAACTTTCGTCTTCCGGCGAATATCATTCCATCACATTATCGACTGTCTCTTCACCCGAACATGACAACGGATGACTATACGGGAACAAATGCAATTACTTTCACTGCTACAGAGGTGAGTTTTTTTTTTTTTTTTGAGAGAGAAAATTTATTCAAAGAAAGCTCCAAGGTCATGCGTACTCACTCAAAAATGGGAACTTTTGTACAAAGATCCCCTCAAAAAAGCACCCCCACTACCGCTGTAATTTATGATAGAAAAAAAATATTGATTATTCAGTTTTGGTTAGGATGAGGGCTAGGAATGCAGATTGCACGGTAAATTCAAATTTTCAAATCGTTTCCAACTCTAACTGGAAAATTACTAATTTGTTATTTTAAAACGCGATGGGAGTGTTTTTCTCAAATCGCACAATTTTTCATTAGTAGCGGGACCTTTGTACAAAAAATCCCAGAAAGTAACACGATTGATTTCTGAGTGTAGTTTCGCGCGACCACTTAAGTTCTAAGAACGACCAAGACTATAAATATACATAGAGTAGAAATTTGCGTTTGTAAATGTTGATTTATGCGAGGTTTACAGCAGTTCATGTCAGTACTAGGGGCCTACCCAGGGGGCTGAGGGTCGCCCCCTTTTTTGACGTGTAAACAAAGCATTATTTTGTATCAGACATAGATTTTATTGTATCTTTTGTAGCACCCCCGCCCCTCTAAAAAGTCTGGCTACGTCCCTGCTCAATACGATAGGGATACAGCAATGGTGGGTGTAGTGAATTCCACATTGCTGACATATAGGCAATTCTTTTTAGTTATCGATTTTAATCGGTAAGTATGTTGATAGATATTTGTCTGTCTGTATATCTGTCTGTTAGATGCACGCGATATCTCAAGAAAGCGAGATTGAATCTGCTCCAGATTTTGCATGTTGCATTCATCATATCTCGGACCAGAAGCCTATTGATTTTGGGCGAATTATGTCGTATATTTAACGAGTTATTAATTAATTAGTGATGGGACACAAGGTGTCACTATGGAGTAAAAGCGCTGTTTTGGGGATCTCCTAACTTTCGATCGATAAGTCTTCGGTCTCTGACCGATATTCTCGTTTTTATTTTTTGTTTAAAATAACGCCACACGAAATCACTCAAAAATATAGAAGATTGATCTCGAGTGTAGTGCATGAAAAGATCGGTTCCAAATTGCGATGAACGCTAAACTTCTTCTTTTCTTTCAACTTCCAACTGTGGGGTTTTAAAATAATATTTGCTATCTATTACTGTTATCAAATCTGAAAAATATAAACTATTGGGTTAAAATCAACATATTTATTGACAATTTTGTGGGTTCAAATTATTTTCAGGCACCCCTTATTTGGAAAGTGTAAAGAAATCATGGCTTTCGTCTCGTATATATTGGGAGTGAATGCGTAAATTAAACCCATAAATTACGAAAATCAAGAAAAATTATTTACCACGTAAACTCCTGTTTGTGTATGAATATACCCAGAAGCTTCAAAAACCTAGGTCGTTTTGCAAAATTATTTTCTCTCTAGTTACTGGTATATGTTCCAAATGACCTGGAATATGGTTTTTGAAGGCTAACATTAAAGGGGTACTTCCGTAGTATGTGAACCAAGGTGGCGGATACCGGAACGTAGTATGTGTACCAAATTAGGGTTATGCAATAATTTTAGGTACAAATACTACGGGGATCACTTGGCTAGTCACCACACTCGTAATAGAACTAAAATGAGGAAAATTGAAATAAAATTATGCCCTCTTTAACATGGTACACATAATACATTCCGGTGTCCGCCATCTTGGTTCACATATCACGGGAGTACCCATTAAATTGGTAAAACACAAGGTGCATAAAGTAAACGGAGGCGTTTATTTGCACAAGTATCGTTTCGAGGTCAACCGTTTTTTCAATTTATTTTTAACTTGCCAGTTGACATTTCTGCAAACACATACACCAAAACAAACAGTAGTAAATACTAATGTGTGTTTAAACAAGAGAACAAAGCTTTATTGTATGGTCGCGGAAATCATATGAATATCGCCACTCAGCACAATTCTTATAGCCGCATTGCCACTATTATAGAGTATAGACCTGACATGGGCAAACTACGGCCCGCGCGCCAAATCCGGCCCGTTCGGTGATTCAATCTGGCCCGCCTAATGCTGTCATAAATTTCTGCTTCTAACCAAATCAGGCATATAATTGTTCTTACTGAAATCTGTATCGTGAAAGTGCAATAAGCTTGTCAGAATATGATCGTATTGTGTGTAGTTGTATTTTCGGTTTCCACAGATTTTTATGGGACGTTAACAAAACTTGTAACACTGTAAAGAAAATTCTGTTCATAGGATATAACTTGTTACGTCACACTCATACGGCCCGCAAGTCTAGGTGGGCAAAATTTTTGGCCCCAGACTCAAAAACATTGCCCACCCCTGGACCATATATAGAGTGGTTCAGTGGTTCTCAACTCTTTCTTATTTGTGGCCCACTTTCGTTGCACAAATTATTATCAACTTTTTCATGCCGGGGGAAAACTTCAAGAAAACCAAAAAATTCCTTCCGCAAAGATAGGAACTCCCATTTCAATGATTAAAATGAAAATTACCATTTACTAGCAAAAAACAGCGAAGCTCCCTAAGTATGTAAACCAAAATGGCGGACACCGGAACGTAGTATGTGTACCAGGTTAGGTAATAATTTCAGGTACAAATACTACGGGAGTCACTTGGCTAATCCCCGAGCTCGTAATAGAACTAAAATGAGGAAAATTGGAATAAAATTATGGCCTCAGCCTAACCAGAAAAAATTCCAATGCTCCAAGGCTTTGTGCAGGGGTAATGTTCGCGAACACAAACTAAGTGAAACAAAGGTGTGACGTCATGATGATGTTTCATTCGGAAACAAGACATTGTCAAAATTTTCAATACTCCAAGAGTTTGTGCCGCGAGATAATGTCCGCGATCACGAACTACGTGAAATAAAAATATGATGTTGTCTCAGGGGATGAGACAAAGTCAAAGGTTCCAATGCTTTGTCCAGGGGTAATATCCGCGAACGCAATTTACCTCGATTATTTAATTTTTTTAGACAACGGATGTAGTGATCTTTCACGCCCACAGAACCTTGAACATAACTTCAGTTCAGATTCAGAAAGACAACGCAGGCACATTGGAAGATATTGAGATTAAAAGAGAGTTCCGGTATCCGGACAACGAATTTTATGTTGTGCAAACTGTAGACAACATGGCTGCAGGTGCGTTTTATTTTGAATTTTTTAAATTCAAATTCTTTTTATTTAAATTTACTCAAAGTAAAGTCACTTGCACCCTCCCTCAGATGAGTAAAATGAGACTGATCTCTGGGTAAATCTCTACTGAAATGATACGACCCACTAAAACTATATAGATTTATGGTTGTTTATTACGCGCGCTCACCTAAAAGTAAAACGAGAATGTCGGTCAGAGACCGAAGACTTATCGATCGAAAGTTAGGGGATCGCCCAAAACAGCGCTCTTACTCCATAGTGACATCTTATGTCCCATCACTAATTAATTGATAACTCGCTAATTATACGACATAATTCGCCCAAAATCGATAGGCTTCTGGTACGAGATATGATGAATGCACATGCAAAATTTGCATCAGATCCAATTTCGCTTTCGTGAGATATCGCGTGCATTTAACAGACAGACAAACAGACAGACAGGCAAACAGACAAATACCTATCAACACACTTACCGATTAAAATCGATAAGTAATGACTTTGCGTATGTGTGTATGAACACTCACTCGAATGTATGTGCAGAGCGCGTCGCGCGCCTTCACTTAAGAGTACTGATCTCTGAATGAGGTTACTGGTAATCACGGAAGACCGAAAAATATGTGATAGAAAAGCACAATCGCAGACCACGGCTTCTTGTCCAGTTACAGGTAGGGCTGGGTATTTTCGAATAGCTTGTGATTTCAGAATCGAATCGAATATTTTTTCAAAACGAATCGAATCTCGAATTTGGGAATATATAATTGTAATGTATAATTGTTTTTATTGTAATTGGTCCTCTCAACAAATGAATTACCGTTACTGTTTCATCAATAACTTACTACAGAAAAGGGTCATATGTCAAAATTGCGTTGAAAATATATGCCTTAAATAACAAAATTAAGAAATTTACCTCGACTATTGATGGAAATAAAACAAGATGGCGGCGATTCGAGATTTCGCTCTGAATCGATTCGAATAATTTACTATTCGATTTGAATATTCGATTCGAAATGACCAGCCCCAATTATGTTGCGAAAAAAAGTCTTCTTGTCCAGCTACCAGTGTATTTTTTCTCAGAAATTTGCTCTGAGCAAGGTCACTTATTCCTCCTTCAATAGTTAAGGCTCTCACCCACTGCCGAAATGTCAAAAGTAGCGTACAGTTGGCCCCGAGAAAAATTGAACCAAGGTTTGGAAATTCAACTTGACAAGTTAATATATATGGACCCACGGATTAGTTTGGCTATTGGCACTTTTACTGTATTTTTCATATTGGTGAAAACATTTTAGTTAATAAAAAAAATAATGAAAAAACATTTTTATTATATTCGAAATTTTTATTAAAGGGCCCAAGATTTGTTTGGCCCGGAAATGGGCCCAAAAATAATACAAATTGAGAACTATTGCATTAACCAGCATTACCTAGCTAGGCGTCTACGATTAAAGATGCAAATAATATCCAAATGAGAATAAGAAAAATTGCAAAATTGCCACTTTGGGGCTTATCACCCCTAGTTTGCGAACCACTAATGTACGCAATTACAATTGGTGATGCAAATAATGTCTAAATGAGAAGTACTGCTTTAAATTACTTCCGAATTCAACAGGTGAATACATACTGACAATAGGATTCAACAACAGTCTTATTGAATCAATTGTAGGAATCTATAAATCAACGTACACGGATCCAGACGGCACAGTCAAGTTTGTATTTTCAGTTCATTTGTTTTTATGACGCGTAACCCTCCCTTTCGCTCCTGACAAGGCCCTGTTAAAGCCACTGATATCTAATAATACCATCATGTGAAATATGTTACGTCATGTCAGTTGAGTCTAAGCTGATATGTGTCAACTACGACCCGCGGGCCAAATCCGGCCCGTTGGGTAAATCGATCTGGCTCGCCTGATGCTGCGACAGTCAAACTAAAATCAAATTTTGATGTTTTATCTAAAAAAAAATAGCTAGAAGAAATTGGATGAGATTGCAATTAATTTTGTTCTGACACGTAGCTTATACTTATAGTTATCCACTTTTGCTTTTGTAACACTGTAAATATTGTTCATAAAATGAATTTTTTTACGTCACACTCACATGGCCCGCTAGTCTAGACGGTCCCAACCCTGGTCTAAACCTTTTAACCTCCAGTCGTCCACCAAGCCGTCCATTTTATTACGCCGTCTATTCACGGCCTGTATAAGCCCTGTATAAGCAGCTACTGATATTCGTTCCTTTTAAATGACTCGAGTCATTTTTAATCTTAAGTAAATTGTGACTCAAGTCGAGTCGACGACTCTGGAATCCCTACAGGGGCGTAGCAAGAGTGTTAAAAATTCCCTTTTGAAACGTAAAAAGGGCGTTCCCGTATCATACATAGAAATTTTACGCAGCTTGGAACGCTTTTTAGACCTACAAGACTCTTGAACCCCACGTTTCCTGACTCCGACCAGACCCGCTAGCTCTTTCGGTCTAACTTGGCAATTATAAATTTCACCCCCCCCCCCCCCCCCCCCCCCCTCATTTTAAAATTACTGACTTACCCTCCTGAGACTTACTGACTACACGTGCATAAGGATGTTTTCATAATAACCTTCCTGAAAATTTATGGTTACGCTTCTCAACACTGTTTCACACTTTTACATAACGCCACAAATCAACATTTTTTTACTAAAATCTTTAGTATTCTGTCACCTCTCACCCGCTGGCTGTTTCAGTCTAACTTGGCACTTAGAAATTTTAATATCCTCCCCGCCTGAAAATTCATGGCAATGTCCCTACCCCTAACACTGTTTCATACTATTTCATCACTCAACAACTAAAACACATTTACAGAGGCATTGTGGGATCAGACATGGAACCTGTCGACGCCAGACGAGGTTACCCGTGCTTCGATGAGCCAGCTTTGAAGATCACTTATACCACGAGCATCGTTCACGAAGCCCACCATACGGCGCTATCTAACATGCCAGATGTTGTGAGTAATGGTTTTATTTTACATATATAGTAATGTTATTCTATGGCTGGGCATTTTCGAATACTTGATGATCGCAGAATTAAATCTAATATTTTGTTCGAATCGAATATCGAATCCAATTAGAGAGTCCAGCTGCACACTAACACAAATGTACTGACTCTGAATGTACTGAATGAAAACGTAGAATTCATTCTGCCGTTCATGCCACTTAGGTCTACGTGTCCATATATTCGAGCGTTGCTTTCTTGTATTTCAAGTGTTTATAATAGAACTAAAATAAGGAAAATTGGAATATAATTATGTCCTAACCCTAACCCGGTAAATATATTAGGTTCCGGTGTCCACCATCTTGGTTCACATACTTCGGGAGTACCGACTATTGCCATTTTAAAATAGGCATCTGAATCTGAATAACTCTCTCATTATTCTGCAGGAAACCACAGATTACGAAGGAGGGTTGAAAGAAACTTTGTTCCAGAAATCTGTCCCGATGCCAACCTATCTCGGATGCTTTATTGTGGGCGAGATTGTGTCGATTGAAGCAACGAGTAAAAGGGGAATTCCAGTGAGTATTTCTGTAAATAAAATCAAAGACTCAAAAAATCAGTATTGTAAAAAATTGTTCCCCGTGGTTAATAGCGACCTAGAGGAGGCGGAAAAAATTGCACAATTGATTCCGTCTTCCCGACTGTGAGGTAAAAAAATTCTTTTCTCCGGTTATCCGAGTTTAAACGAGAGGGCTCCACATAATTAAGCCGCCTCATTATCTTCCTTGGTTAACGCTTAATTCCCTGCTATATTTATTTATAATGTCATTAGTTCTTGCCACTTCAGTGGTCGCCTGTCAATTTGGTTGAGGAGACTCTTTGGCGCTCCGGAAGTATTCGTACCAAAATGACGCACAACCTGAACCCTAACCTAGTACTCATACTTTGTTCAGGTTGTGCGTCATCTTAATACGAATACTTCGGGAGCACCGACTCAATTGCTTCTGAGTGGGTGCGCATTCGCCGTGATCAAATTTTCCAGCAAAAATTTAAAAAATTCGCATTTCTGTCCCACCGTGGTCTATGCAAAGTATATACGAATATTCTATATAGCCCACATGGACTGGTAAACGTAAGGCCAATAGTTTGCCCCCCCAAGCGATAAATATGAGATCAATGCCAACGTCTAATACACCACCATTATTCTTTATAGTTTCAGTATCTTTTGACAATTCAGTGATTGGCCATGAGTTTTTTAAAAGATGACTTGAATATATATAAATATAGTCCAATTTGAAAATTTTATGCGTTTCTCTCCCCGTTCTTCCACCTTGCGATAACGAATAAAGGACAAAATTTTATTTCGACTTCAGACAGTACATTGCCGTTTGAATAAGCACCTTCATAAAATAGGATGCCATAATAATGGACCTCGCGATTGCTGTAATGTTTCAGGGACAGAAGAACATTTTCTAATGAACTGCCGTGCATATAGAAATGAAAGGCACATACTTATGATGAAATGCCGCGATTATGGCATTGATTTTCAACTCAGAGCTATCTTAAGCATCTCTAGCATTAGCACTATTAGCATTAGCACTACTTGACTTTGTGAAGTCCACCAAGAGAGTACTATATAGGGCAGGCGGTGCTCCAGAAGTATGTGCACTAAGATGGCACACAACCTGAACGTAGTATGTATACCAGGTCGGATTTCAGGTTGTGCGTCATCTTGGTGCACATACTTCCCGAACGCCCTGTAGGCATATTAAAAGTTTAGTTTAAATTGTCTGGCGCTAAAGACTTAAATTGTTGAAAGCGAAAAATACTTTCATACTACACACACATGAAATCAAATCTTTTATTTTTCAGTTAAAAATCTACGGCACGAAGGCTCAGATTGACGCTGGACAAGCTGATTACGCGTTGAATGTCACAAAAGTTGCTTTTGATTATTTTGAAGAATTATTCATGATGAACTATTCATTGCCTAAATTGGGTATGTGCTTTTGCATTTAAATCAGGGGTCTCAAACTCAATTTACCCAGGGGTCACTGGAGGTAGAGTCTGGTTGGGTCCGGACCGCATCTGGTTTTCCATAACAAAAGCTAAGTTTAAAAAATTCAAATCTTTTCTTTCTTTATTTTTGTTTAATCAAGCATTTAGCCGACGGACAGTAATGTCACACCACTTTGAAAACATGGTCACAATGTAGCAATATAAATCTGAGCGTTAGTGGTTGTGACGTCAAAATTCGAGAACTTATACTGAATGTATTAATATTGCAAACTGAGCTAAGTGACTTGCGGGCCACACTAACATTAAACTTTAATACTAAAGTGGGGGCCACAAACTATCGTCCCGCGGCCCGCAATTGGCCCACGGGCTGCGAGTTTGAGACTCCTGATTTAAATACTGCTAATAAAATTGTCAATAGCGGTACAGGTTACTCAGCCACGTAAGCATGTCATCCGATTCGGTGGCAGCATCCTCGGTGCCAAATATTTAACCTAGGAGTGTGCAACAAGCGGGCCAAATCCGGCCCAAAGAAAAAATTGTGCGACCCGCGGAGAAGCACCACCTTTGGATGATGTGCGGTCGGCGAAACGAGCCTTTTAATTTAATCTAGTATGTGCGAGTAATTCCAATTCCTTTGCGTTGCAACGCCAATATCTGAGCTTGTGCAAAGCGAACACTATTTGTCACAAGATCAATAACTAAAATTTTCGTGCCTGCAACCACTAGAAAGCTTATGTTAAATAAAAGTGCGGCCCGCGGTTCAACCAGCGATTTGTATCTGGCCTTTCTGTATAGGGTTGCACACCGCTGGATTGAATTATCCGCCACAAAATAAATTTTCACTTGGATTTACAGATCAAATTGCGATTCCTAACTTCGGAACGGGGGCCATGGAGAACTGGGGCCTTGTCACATACCGGGAGACAAATCTTCTATGGGACCAGAAAGAGTCCTCGACCTACTATAAACAAAGAGTTGCTGCTGTAATCTCTCATGAACTTGTGCATCAGGTATGAGCAAGGAAAAGTATGTTAGCTTTAAATAGAGCTGTGCGTTTTAACTTTTTTTAGAGCAACAATGAAACATCTCAGACTCTCGTGAAAAACACTTTGCCATATTTGTAAGGATGCGGGGAAAATGGGTACTCCCGTAGTATGTGAACCAAGATGGCGGACACCGGAACATGGTATGTGTACTATGTTAGGTCATAATTTCAGATACAAATACTACGGGAGTTACTTGGTTGGTTCCCGAACTCGTAATAAAATTAAAAGAAAGGAAAATTGGAATAAAATTATGGCCTAACTCTCACCCGGGACACATACTATGTTCCAGTATGCCCCAACTTGGTTCACAAACTTGACTATTTCTCCCATTTATAGTATGTGGTATCATCACTCAAGGGTGCTATATTTAGTCTATGTCCAAAATTTGTTATTATGTTTACATGCAGTATATTTCATGTTGTATTATCTGTATTTATTGATGTTGTTTTGTCTTACAAACTCCTTTGTACAAACAGTTTTGCATACTTCACCCTTGCCCTTGTTGCCAAACCCATCCATCCTCTTTGCACAACTGTCTGTATTAAGGACCATATTATACTTATTTGATTTATTGCATTTTATGCTTATCATGAGGGGTATGCCGCTCTGCCATGTGTTATAGGCCAGTATACATCCCGTCTTCAATGTTGATAATTACTAACTGTTTTATAATGCTTTTACGAGACGAATAAAGATACATACATACATACATACTACGGGAGCGCCGAAAATTGTATAAAGTATAATAAATATATATCAATCAAATCCTAATACCGAGTAAACGAAAATTATCGTCAACGTGTAGCTAGTTTTTTTTATAATTATTTTAGGAAATACAAGCATTTTGCAAAATAGTATTTAAATATCTATGATGTGGCGTATATACCGGAGCAGATGGTCAGTCAAAAACATAACACATTTCAACGTTACAAATACAGGGTTTTAAAAAAGTTACGCAAAATTAAGGTCAAATTTTTCGTCATGGCAACGTTAAGAAAGTAACTGTTATAAAACGTCAGTCGTGTTTAAATGGCATTTCACCGTTCATTTCTTTAAAAGATGTCAGCCATTGAATGTTTTGAGTTATTGAGAAGCATTTCACTTCTGTTAATTTTGCGTTTCTTTTTTAACACCCTGCTGTTATAATGCTACCAGCAAAATATCCACCACTCCTAAATTTAGAAACATCCTTTTTCATTGGTGTAAATCAATGTTTTATTGAACACAAGCAATACTTAACATAAACACTTCAGTTGTCACCACGAATAGCATGAATGACCTCTGCGCACCGGCATGGCAATTGGCAGTATTTATACCCGGGAAGCATCCTTCAGTGGTTTTACCCACAATGACATACCATCATGCTGTGCTGTCATTGGTCAGTTCAAGAGTGGGAAATGGGAATAGAACACAGTTATCACAGAATGACAATCACCTGGATAAAATGTAAATGTGAACACAACTTGACACCTCTCCATTCTTGCCACAACCACAAATGGGTACTCCCGAAGTATGTGTAGCAAGATGGCGCACAACCCGAACCCTAACCTGGCACACATACTATGTTCAAGTTGTGCGCCATCTTGGTGCACATACTTCGGGAGTACTTACAAATGAATGGCTGAAAAGCATACTGCCTCTGATTGATTATCATAAAATCCTACAACTGACAAAACTTTATTTTTTCAGTGGTTTGGCAACATTGTCACGATGAAATGGTGGGACAACATATGGCTGAATGAAGGATTCGCATCTTACCTAGAATACTTAGGAGAGAATGTTGCTGAGCCTACATGGGGAATTGTGAGTATATTATTTGTTTTTGGTTAAGAGAAACGAATTAGTTTATACCTTGTGCTAAAAAAACATTTCAAAACGTTTCCATAAGTTCAATAACAGTGGTAAACCTAACTCCTATTTGAATATATTTGAACAATATACATATATTAATATAGATTCCAGGATTCGAACGGGAACGTGCAGTGTCCTTGGACTGTAAAAGCGGTCGCAAAGCCTCGGGTGGAAACCACCATGACTGACGTCAAATCTGTGGCGTATCAACGCATAATGGCGCTTATGGCGAAGTTTAAAAATAAAATGCGCCATTTGATCGTCCTCTTTAACTTTTTAACGACTAGTGTTGAATTGAAATGAATTGAAAGTTAATATTTGAGTAAAAATACGAGTTCCAATTATTTCCAATTTGAAAATATTTTTAAAACATTTTACAATTAAAACTTCGCCTTTTTCTACCACAATCCAAAAGGCGCCCATTGCACGAGTCATGGCTTCCATTACCTAAATACGCCACTGTATTGAATCCAACATTTCATTTACAGCTGGACCACTTGGTCAACGACGATTTGCAGTCAGTAATGCGTTCGGATTCCTCACTCGCGTCTCACCCTATTGTTGTTGACGTCAACACCCCTTCTCAGATCACCTCAGTCTTTGACAGTGTCACATATTCGAAGGTTAGTGTATGTGTTTGTTGTACATGAATGTGTGCATGTGTATATATATGTATGTGTGTTCGTGTGTATGAGTGTGTTATTATGCGTGTCTGTGTGTATAAGTATGTTCTGCTCATTCTATTGTTGTGAACGTCAGCACCCCTTCTCAGAACACCTCAGTTTTTGACAGGGCCACATATTCGAGGGTTAGTGTGTGTGTTTGTGTGAATGTGTGCATGTGTTCGGATTCCTCACTTGCATCTCACCCTATCGTAAGTATGTTCTGCTCATTCTATCGTTGTCAACGTCAGCACCCCTGCTCAAATCACCTCAGTTTTTGACAGTGTCACATATTCGAGGGTTAGTGTGTGTATGTGAATGTGTGCATGTGTGCATGTGTTCGGATTCCTCACTTGCATCTCACCTTATCGTTGTCAACATTAGCACTCCTGCTCAGATTATCTCAGTTTTCGACAGTGTCACATATTCAATGGTTAGTGTGTGTGTGCGCATAAGCATACTCTTCTCATGATATCGTTGTCAACGTCAGCACCCCTGCTCAGATGATCTCAGTTTTCGACATTGTCACATAGTCAGTGGCTAGTGTGTATGTGTGTGTGCATTAAACACCTATTGTGGACAAATGTGCCATATATGCCAGGGCCCTGGGGAGTCAAAGAAAATTTGACTTGGGCTTCAACTTTCGCTCCAGGTTGTGAAAAATTTCGACGTTAAAGAAATTAAATTTTAATAAAAAATGATTTTTGATTATACAAGGCCCTCTTTAATAGAGGAGGTAGAGAGGGTGGTGAGTGTTGGATCTCGTCCCTCTTTTGAAATGTGAGGAACAAAAAGATTTTTCTGTATCTCACATAGCAATTGTTTTTAGTTTGAAACGTATTTTATACCTTCAAGACCTGACATGGGCAAACTATGGCCCGCGGGCCAAATCCGACTCGTTGGGTAATTTAATCTGGCACGCCTGATGCTGCCATAACTAAACAAAACCAAATTTTGATTTCTTAGTTAGAAATAGCTCAAGGAATTTGTTGAGATTGCTGTTTAATCTAGTTTTGGCAAGAGGTGTATTGTTTTTTATATTTGCTTTTGTAACGCTGTAAATGTTGTTCATAAAATATAATTTTTTGGTACTCCCGTAGTACGTGAACCAAGTTGGCGGACACCGGAACGTAGTATGTGTACCAGGTTAGGGTTAAGCCATAATTTTAGGTACAAATACTACGGGAGGCACTTGGCTTGTCCCCGAACTCGTAATAGAACTAAAATAAGGAAAATTGGAATAAAATTATTGCCTAACCCTAACCTGGTACACATACTATGTTCAGGTGTCCGTCAATATTTTACGTCACACTTACATGGCCCGCCAGACTGGGTGGGCAAAATATTTGGCCCCTGCTCCAAAAAACGTACCCACCCCTGCTCAAGACTCTCCAAAACCCAGTTTCGGACCCGTTAGCTGTTACGATCTAACTTGCCAGAAATTTCAGAACTCAGAACTGAAAATTCGTGACTACGACCCTGGCTTAGTGGATAAACTAGAAATGAAATTTCGCTGAAAAAATGGGGACTCCTGAAGTATGCGCACCAAGATGTCGCACAACCTGAACCCTAACCTGGTACACAACCTGAGTTCAGGTTGTGCGCCATCTTGGTGCGCATACTTCAGGAGGTCCAAAACATGCTTCATTTTACTTTTCAGGGTGCCACCGTTTTATACATGTTACATGGCATCTTAGGAGACGATTTATTCTTCGGAGGAATTAACAAATATCTCAACGATTTCCGTTTCAGCAACGCGAATGAGCAAGACCTGTGGAACTCTCTTCAAACGGTATTGATATCTTCTGGATATGATTATAGGCACACTGTTATCTATACAGGCCCCTTCCACCCTGAGATGCATTATTTTCCTCTCTCTTTTTACCTCGTTCTGTGCAGTGTGTATTTCTTATATGGTGATAAAATAGACTATTGATTACAGGATTCCCATAAAATTTTGCCCGATTTTATAGTAAAAACGATTATAAGTTTCAATAAATTTTATTGTATGATAATTAGGACTACAATCACAATGAGAACCCCTAAGAAACAAAGACAAAGAAATTTCTAATTGTAATAACTATAAAAAGGGCGACATTTTTTTGGAAACCCTTCCGGTTCTCCATCAAGTCCATGCTTTTGAAAACAAACTTTTGACAAAGCTTTTAAAAACAAACAAAAAAAAAATGTCTAACTAATCTTATATCCTACATGGACTGGTAACCGGGCGAGAGGCCATGGTTCGCTATACGATTAGGTTGTCGTATCGGTTTACCTCTCCCCCGTGATAAATATGTAAATTTCATCCTATAAACATTTTTGTTTTGTTTCAGTACATTGATCCAAACGGTGGGGGATATGACGTGAAAGGGATGATGGACCCGTGGGTTCAGCAGATGGGCTTTCCTGTCATCACAGTTGGAGCCGCAAGTGGGAATGTGGTAAGCTATTGCTGTATAGCTTAAGGTGCGGGGTATTTAAACCAAGAATGGTTAACCCCAGGAATAATTTTGAATCACATCGAATTGCACTGCACGTCTTATATGCATATTTGAAGCGCGCAAAAATACATAAAACTACTCATGTGTGGCTTGACATTTCATCCGAGGTTTCGCCGTTTTATATAATGGAAGGAAACGCCTTTTCAAGTCGTAATTTTTAGTTTCTTGAATCTTGAACTTTCCACCAGACAAATTCCTCTCTTGGAGGAAATTCTACTATGTATTTACTGTATCACTAATATCTTGACTACTTAGTATTATTGCAATGCATGTCAGGAACGTAGCCAGAATTTTTTAAAGTGGGGGGGGGGGGACTAAAAGTTTAAATTGCCAATTAAACCGTAAAAGTTGGCGTGTCCAGGTTAGTTTTCAAGAGTCTTCAGGGCCTAAAAAGCGTTTCAAGCTACCACAAAGTGCTATGTGTGATACGAAAATATTTTTTTTTACATTTCAAAAGAGGTGCTCCCGAAGTATGCGAACCAAGATGGCGGACATCGGAACGTAACATGGGTAACAGGTTAGGGTTAGGCAATAATTTTTTTCCAATTTTCCTTATTTTAGTCCTATTATCAGTTCGAAGACTAGCCAAGAGCCTCCCGTAGTATTTATACCTAAAATTATGGCCTAACCCTAACCTAGTACACATATTACATTCCGATGTCCGCCATCTTGGTTCGCATACTTCGGGAGCCCCTCAAAAGAAAAGGTACCGGACCCGCAACACGTCCTCCTGGTTACACCCCTGATTCACGTGCATTAGTATTTGAGTTTTCAGTATAATATGAAGTAATAGTACTTGTTGGCCTACATATTTCAATCAGATGTTCGAAAATTAGTGTACGGATAGCCATTTTAAAAAGGGAAGTGGTTTGAGCATGGAAAGCATGCTTTTTATAAACATGGTGTCCATAAAGTCCCTTCACAGTTTCAATTTTGTTATGAAGTCAATTCTCAATATATTTTAACCAGGTTTGTCGTTTTTAATCATTAATACTCCATTTAATACATCTGCGAGGGCTAAAACAATATATAGTATCGATAAATTCCCTTCGCATTTTTTAAATATTTTAAGACTATATATATCTCCCAGGCTCAAGCAAAACAAGAACACATGCTGGCCGATGCCAATCCTGATCTATCTAAGAGGCCTCCATCCATCTACGATTATAAATGGATGATCAAGGTGGACTATTTCAGATCAGATGATACCACGGTGAAAGAGATGTGGCTGAACCGCGTCGATACAAGTAAGTAAAAATTAGAAATGCGACGGTCACGGGCTCGTTGTTGAAAAGTTTTGTGGAAACGCAGCGATACAAGTAAGTCTGTTTTGATACCACGTTTCCACAAATTTCAATTTTCTTTCGAAAAATACCACTAGGGATTATTTTTGAAGAATGTTTTTCATTTTCATTTATCAAAAACAAAATTACAAAGTTGAGAATTACAAGATTTTCAAATATACTGATTTCATCTGTCTTCGTCACGAATGCTCGCCCAGAAGAATATTTAAAAAAAAAACAATAATATGAATCGTAATTAAATACTACAACATTGGGTGCTGCTGCTTGACAATCAGCTTTGGTTCCCCGCTGCTTTCCTTCCGCAGTAAAATCATTTCATTGACATTTTTGCATTTGTATTATTTATTATTTTGCTGGTAGGAAAAATAAACTTGACTATGACTTTGTACAGGCATTGATTTGGACGTCTCAGGTCTGCCATCTGACGGATGGATAAAAGTAAATGTAAAGGAGAAAGGCTACTACCGAGTCAACTACAGTCCTGATATATGGAGGAACATTGCCGCACAGTTAGAATCCAACTTTACAGTTTTCAGTGATTTGGACCGATCGAATATACTTGACGACGGCTTCAATTTGGCACCGTAAGTTGACTTTTCGGAGTTGGGAAGGGCTGTAGGATTTTAATGGGCGTTTTGCAGGGTATTCCCGTAGTATGTGAACCAAGTCGGCAAACACCGGAACGTAGTATGTGTGCCAGATTAGGGGTGGGCCACAACTTCAGGTACAAATACTACACCTGGCTAGTCCCCGAATTCGTAATAGAACTAAAATAAAGAAAATAGGAATAAAATTATTGTTACACATATTACGTTCCGGTGTCCACCACTTTGGTTCGCATACTACAGGAGTACGTTTTGTTGGGCCCAGAGTCAATGCCGGAGCAATATTTACAAACTTTTCAAGTTCATAGTTGGACTCATGTTTTAAAATTGCCCGGAGTAAGGAGTTGGGTATTGAAAATGTAACGGGTTAAATTTTGTCAACGTCGAAGCCTTTGTAGTCGAAATGTTATTATAACGCAATTGAGAATTATAGTCGAAAAATTTGAAAATATGTTCATACGATTTTTTATTTATACGCTGTCGTACGATGTCGCTGCTGAGCCATAAATCATTCTCCTATCAAAATGTATTAATTAATATGGAATGTTCATTTTTCTGTCTAGAGCTGGACGGATCGAGTATGTGCAAGCTCTGAATTTGACAACTTATCTTGACGAAGAAAAAAGCTTCTTTCCCTGGGACGCCTTTGCGGATGGAAGCTCCTACATAAGAGTAATGTTACAGGATACCGATGCTTATCCAAATTTTAAGGTAGGATAATATTATTGGACACGTAGTGGACATAACGATCGTTTCAATATTATGTTGTTCTTGTTGTTTGACACAGAATAACACACCTAGTGGAAATATTAAAAAACCGCTTTTCTCTTCGAATACTGGACCAATTGCTTTGAAATTTTCAGTGGTTGAAGATAAAATTTTTCCCCAGAAGACTATTACTTTTATTCATTTTAAATATTTCTGTTAGCTCTGTGAGATTTGTTTTTGTTTGCTATGACGTCATTAAACGTTCTGCGGACATCGGACGCCATTTTGTGTCCTACTGTACGCTTGGGGTGATTATATTTGTAGACTGTGATCTGACGGTACTGTACTGCGAACAGACGTGTCCTTATATTTGGGCGTAGCTCTCTTGTATTTAAATAACGTATATTTTTCACAGTCACAATAGCGTACGAGGAACGACCTATATAGAAAGTAGATCGATGATACAGTAAACAAATTCCCGGCGACGTGTTACATTAGCGATAATTCTGCTGAAGGGACAATTTGAGTTTTGTCCTAATTAGTACGAATGTGTGATTATTCACAGCGACGTGTTAGATAAGTGAGTTTTTCGAATTAGGAGATGTTTTTGACCAGTTAGGATTTATCGTTTTTTTTTTTTTTGCTATTAAATATTTAGTTCAAAGTACCAATATTTCCCACAACTTCGGTGTGATGGCCATACCCTGCTTGTCAACGTCCCCGGTTTTACACTTATTCCCTTACTGTTTGTCAGTTTATCAGCTTTTAAAAGTTTTGGCGGCATCGTCTGTCATCAAAGCAAAGAGCGTCAACGATATCCACCGCTATTCCTAATTTTCTGCCGTTATGGTAGCCAAATTGCCCTCAGCCTAAGAGGCCGAAGAAATGACAATTAGAAGTACGGTATACAGGCTACCCTCCCCATCTCCCATCTGCTGTCTATATGGCAGATCAATAGCCTTCCACAGGGGAGGCCATTCGAATTATGATTGGGACCATATAACCATCCCTATTCCTAACCCGCTGTCTATATGGTAGCTCAATAGACCTGTATGGAGGAGACCATTTATATGGCGACTGAAACCATATATTCATACCTAACCCGCTGTCTATATCAGGGTGGTCCAAGATTGGCAGCTCCGCGGGCCACAAAATTACTTTTGCATTGTTCGCGGGCCACAATAGTGCCAAGAACTTCGCTCGTTTGACCACGCTAGTTGCCTCAGCAAGCCATAACACTAGTCAATTCAGTGATATTAGTGATGCAACAATATGTCAAAAGATATTTTAGTTAATATTATGACGAAACAACACAAAATGCGATTTTTTGATTCCTCTCCGAATGTGACGCGGGCCACAGATAATGAAGCGGCGGGCCACATGTGGCCCGCGGGCCTGGGTTTGGACCACCCTGATCTATATGGTAGCTCAATAGACCTGTATGGAGGAGGCCATTCATATGACGACTGGGACCATATAACCATCCATATATTTCCTGCGGCAAAGTTTCCGGCCACTCATTCTAATGCCGATTGAGACCACATTTCTATCCCTATTTGTGAACTGCGTATCACAAGGCCTACATGTAGAAAGAGGTCTGGAAAAATTTTTACCAATGTAAAAGATGAAGTGATAAACACAAACCTACTTATTTAATTACAGAAATACTACTTATCAAAAGTGAAGCCTATTGCCGACGAACTTGGATGGGATGCAACAGTGGGAACACATAACCAAAAGTAAACTTGCATTTAATATTATTTAAAACAGTGGTTTCCAACCTTTTTCCTTTTGTGGCCCAGTTTCAGTGCCAAAAAAATTTGGGGCACACAAAACTTGTGATAAAAGTTTTTAACAATAAAATAGAAAATAAATAATAAAAATAAAGTAAAAGTAACCAAACTAATCTTTGAGTCTATTTATTAGCTTGTCAAGTTGAGCTTTTAAATTCCACGGGTAAATCTCCAATGGCTCAGTATCCAGCGTTACGCCCAGCTTGCACTCTGAATTTTGTACGGTTTGAATAGATTAAAACATATCATCAGTTCTGATATAGGACTACTATATGCTTATATGGCAGTGTTTCCCAAACGTTTTGTTCGTGCGACTCCAAATTATCAGGGAAAAAACTTACGGCGCACTTACACAAAAAAAAAATTGCTGCCTTCAAATAAACCTCAATTTTGTGATCACTAATGTAAACTTTATGCCTGTTAAAGTTTGTAAACATGTAGGCGTAACGAACTGTCTGGGTGGCTGCAAAAATTGCCATTATTACGTCGTCGTTTTCTTTTTGCTGATTGATCATTGTTACAGAAATAAACAAGAAAATCGATGCTTGGAGAAACATCCATAATACTTCTCCATGAATAGGATTCCATCTCTGGTTTATTTCACTCAACATTAACCTTTGTTTTACAGGAGAATGCGACCAACGATTCTTGCACTCGCACTGAGATATGATGACGTTGACGCTTTGAACAACGCGACGGATCTCTACACCAGATGGCGAGCTGGAGAATAGTAAGAAAATTATCGATTTTTACATTCCAATTCAATAGTTTTCCATTTTTTTCACAAATCACAAATACTTGTTTTACAGCAAAATGCTCTTGCGGCGATTTTCTCTAAGCGGCTAAATTTCCTGCGGCAAATTTCCATAGAACCGCAAAAAGGAACCCCTTCTTGTAATTTTGAATCTCTCCACCGTCATAACGTCATTCGAAAATGCTTTTAAGCCACTTCATCTGGATATTTTGTACGACGCCAAATGAAAACATTCTATCTCTCAAAATAAGAAAATTGGTATTCATCCAGTTAGGGTTCGGAATGCAGATTTCTTCAATCTCACAATCATTCGTTAGTGGCGGGGACTTTGTACAAAAGTTTCTTACATCTAAATCTTACATCTAAAGCCCCCTTTTTAGAATTTGTCAAGTCCTGCGCCCCTCCTCAAGAATAACTAGCTAACAATTAGCTACAAATAACAGATAGTAAGGCGAAAGTATGTTTTATTCAGAAAACACGTTGAAAATACGTGGATTAATGAAATAAATGAAAAGTTTTGAAATGTAAATCTCTAAAATAAAGCGGACATAATCAAATCTAACAAATATTTTTATTTAGGTCACGCTCCCTGAAAAAATTGTCTTGGCCCCTCAGAAACATCAACCATTTGGGAGTCACTGATCTAAATAACCTTGCTTTTGTTTTCAGTATTCATCCCGATATCCGTCAGCTTGTATACAGGTATGGAATTACTGGCGGGGACGAATCAGACTGGGAATACATGCTTGGAAAATATCTAGAGGAAACTGTCGCCGCTGAAAAATTAAATTTATTACGTGGACTCGCGGCGACCGAAGACGTAGCTCTGATTGACAGGTAATACATTGTTTATGTCACGTTATTGGCGAGTTTTTCTAATATAGAGGTTCACAGCCTTTTTATGCTTGTGACCAATTTTGACTAGATTACTGACATGGGCATACTACGGCCCGCAAGCCAAATCCGTCCGTTGGGCAATTCAATTTGGCCCGCCTTATGCTGCCACAACCAAACTAAAACCAAGTTCTGATGTTTTAGCTAAAAATACTCAAAGAATTTTTTGAAATTGCGGTTAAATTTAGTTTTGGCACGAGGTTTATTGTTTTTCACTTTTGCAATGTAACTCTACAAATGTAGGGCGTGGTAGATATTTTGGTATTCGTGACAAAACTATTTGTAACTTATAAAAATGTGTTATGTAATCGCCTGATCATCTTCACCGGAATAGGAGTCATTTTCTGAATATTGAAATACATTTTTATGTATTTTGAGAAATATAGTATAGAGTCTAACCTAAAAATGTGTGTGTGGGGGGGGGGTGTACACCGCCCAACTAAAAACGGGTCATGCGAAGTAAACACCGTATGTGCTAAAAAAAATGTAACTATCAGCAGAGGTTACACGATACATAAAAAATATAATGTAAAAATCTAGCCCAAATTTAAATTTCTTGGGAATCAAAGTCTTTCTCGTACGGAACGCTATCGCAATCCTATATAGCACACCTGCTGTCAAGAATTTTATTCCGCGCCATACGGACTTTAAAAAAACACGAAAATTTCACATCATATTTTTGTTTTATTGATTTGGTTTATGCGAGACTAACTACTGATTCTTCTTCGCTGTTGTGCTGGATAAACGTATGCATATATATAATGCAAGCATGCTTTAGCGAGAGTAAAGATAACTAGCCTAAGTGATTCAAAAGTAACTAACACAAATATATTACCGTAACGTTTCGTCTGACCAAGGTCAGACTTCTGGAGACATACATAGTTCAACTGTTATATTTTTGTTTGGCGTTATATTAAGGAGTTATATACTTCGTCTACTTCGCTGGCCCCTGCAAATTCCTATCCTACAACTCCATAAATCGATTTTTATCATTTCATAGACTACTCGAATACTCGAAGAACGAATCCATTATCAAGCAACAAGATTTCTTTACCTGCATTAATTATATCTCATACGGTGTAAACGGGAATGTGATGGCCTGGAACTGGGTCCAACTCAACTGGGAATATTTGGTGGACAGGTTGGTCTCAAATTTAAATTTTTTTTTTTTTTTTTTTTTTCAGTTGTACACGCGTTTCTATTTTTCTCGTTTCAGTAATCAGTATTTTATTTTTGTCACCATCATGTAAATATAATTTGCACAAACAAAATAAAAAACTAATGCAAAAATGGTTTTACAGGGGGCGCGAAAAACCAATACTGGTTATCAAGCAGCGACACCTGCGGTTAAGTCTAACAGTCGTCAGTATAAAATAAATGTCAAACATTGAAAATTAAAATAAAGTTTCCTTTCTCTATAGTTTACTCTCTCTTTATTTTAATTAATCGGTCGCTCTCGTCACTTTTGTTTCTAATATTGTACATCAGATACTCTCCGTTTGAGTTCATCTCTTTCGCTTTTTTTATCCATGTTAAATTTGTGTGGGTGTATTTTACTTATTCGTTCATCCCTCTGCTTCCTCTAACTTGTTACCATACTGTTTGGAGGAACTAGTTATTTATTTTCGTAAGCATGCACTTGATTGTAGAAGAAGCCTTAACCGACCAGCGGTTACGTGAACCACCCTACGGCGCCGAGGATTCCATCAATCCTCTCGCACATAACTACCCCAAATGAACCCACGCAGGGTAATCAGAGGTGAACGCTTAGCACGATGCGCCACACCGTCGAGCTTATCCCCCTTTTCCCGCCTTTTAATCCTTTTAAAATATACTATTCACTCGGCATGATTTCTCTATTTATTCTCATTATTAATATTTGAACGGTGCTCATAACTGGCTTAGTTTAGTGCACCAAGACTATAATATTCACGATGGGTGTTCAAATGCTTCGACCCCCCCTGAGAACGTATTCTATGATATAATTCTGGGACTTGTTAGCGATTTGGTACTCCTGTAGTATGTGAACCAAGATGACGGACACCGTAGTATGCTTACTATGCTAGGGTTATGTCATGATTCCAGGTACAAATATTACAGGAGTCACTTGACTAGTCCCTGAACTCGTAAAACTAAAAGTAGGAAAATTGAAATAAAATTATGGCCTAACCCTAACCTGGTACACATACTACGTACCGGTGTCCGCCACCTTGTTCACTTACTACAGGAGTATCAGTAAATTGAAAATATTTATGGACAAATATATCCAGTTCTTTGCCATAATAAATTAAAAATGATCTTGAGAAGTCATAGCTGGGGCAATGTAATATTAAATGGTCGACGGTTTTGTTTTCCAAGCGAGTGTCGTTTTCTCGTTTCAGATTTGGCATAGAAGACAGGAGTTTTGGTCGTATGATTCCGAACATAGTTGATGACTACAACACTGAACTCTTGTTATGGGAGGTTAGTACATTTCACTGTTACAGAATAATTTAATGCTAATCAAAGGCGACGATTCTGCTCGTCACGCTTTGTTGGTCGTATTAAAATTTTTCGTTTTTTTTTGCGGTTCATCGTTTCCTACAGTCAATATTTTAACATGGAAGAATAATTTAATGTTGAGCAAATGCGACAATTCTGCTCGTTACGCATTGATGATCGTTTTCGAGTTTTCGTGGATCATCGTTCTCTTTAGCCAATATTTTCATTTTGCAGAATAATATTTTGATCGAAACAAGAATTCTGCTTTTCATGCATTATAGGTCGTTTTTCAAGTTTTTTTCGTGGCTCATCGTTTCCGATATCCTACATTTTAATATGTCAGAATTATTTAAAGTAAAACAAGCGCGACAATTCTGTTCGTCACGCTTTGCTGATCGTTTTCAAGTTTATTGCGGGTCAACGTTCATTGTATTTCAATATGGCAGAATAATTTAATGCCGAATAAGCGCAACAATTCTGCTTAAGAGGCGATTTGCCAAAAACTTGGATAGACATAAAAATAGCCCAAAGGCTACATAAACATTTTTATTATGCAAGGAACGCATGAGTATTACAAATATTTCATCTTTCCTCAGGTCGAAAGCTTCTTTGAACGGTATCCGGAAGCTGGCGCTGGAGAGACAGGGCGCGCGAATACCATCCTACAAATCAACCTCAATATTGCCTGGATGGCAGCCCACGAGAGTTCAATAAGCAACTGGCTTGCTGAACAGCTAGCCTAGATAAAGCAGCCTCAATGCGACAAAACAAAAATCACTGAATAAATTGCCTGATTCTTCAATTTTTGATGCAAAAATACCGATTATAGGTTACTTGTTTGATTAGAGCAGCGAAAATGGTAAATAATTTTAATTTATCAATTTGTATAGCTTCGCTGTATGCCGATAATGACAAGATTGGCTGGTGACCATATTTTGAAGCATCCTATTTTTGAATATGACGCAACAATGTTTATTTTGATGTCGTTTTCTTAATTGCCACGTCATCCTTTAATTCTTACATGCAATAAATTTGATCCCAAACATCTATTTTAATGACAATTTTGTAAAATAAATATAATAATTTCATCTTGTGTGTGATTCTTTTTGCGTAAAGTACAATAGAAAATACGCGAGTTTCATCTGACGAGTGATAATTGGGCGAATGAGCAATTGGGACCTTAATTCTTCTGTGAGTTCGGCGACCAGCCAAGTGACTCCCGTAGTATTTGTACCTGAAATTTTGATCTAACCTTAACCTGGTATGCATACTATGTTCCAGTGTCCGCCATTTTGGTTCACATACTCCGGGAGTGCCCTTGTCGCTGCTTCACTATTTATGATTTTTGTTTTCCGGGATAAGGAAAGTCGATAAAACAACCTAATCATATCACTTTCGTCCTGTTACCAGTCTATGCGGGATATGAGAGAAAGAATTATTATTTGACGATCAGAATAAAACAGCCATATGATTCACATAGAAAGCGATGCTCAAATCCAAACCACACCGCGACGTTCAAAATGTATCGCAATTTCCACACCACAAGGTGTGCAATTTTCATGTCCACAGAAATGTTGCAAATAAGAAAAAGTAATGGCGAATATTACAATCGTTAACCATTGAAAGTTCTAAAATGATTTGTCCAGCAATTAAAGAAAAAAGCGATTTTTCTACAAGAAGAAGAAGAGTACTACAACATGTACATACAGTAATAACAAAACGATTCGTATCGGTATGTACACTTATTGTCCAATAAACATGAATTTCGATATAGACTGGAGCTACACGACATATAGAAATAATTTACCAGTGCTATAGCAGCAAGCGTATTCATAACGCCTTTAGCGCAGGAGTCAATCGCAAATGAGCTGATCTAGACTGCCGTCTTGCCGAAATTGGGATTGCATTTATATTATCATGTTCGAGAAAAATACCTGAACTTCGCCAAGCCGTGGACGTGAAAGACATGTGGAAAGTGTATGAAATGCCAAGGCATATTTTCCACTTGAAGCGAGACCGACACAGAATAGTACCGTGTTTTGCCGAAAATATGACCTACCCTGAAAATAAGGCTCAGCCTGAATTTCAAAAATTATTTCAAAATTATGCCTTCCCCCTCAAATAATACCTAGTCAACAGCGCGAGATTTTTTCGTCATAGTTAATGCAAGAAATCTCCCAAATCTACACGTTTTGAAGGATTGATAATTTATGTTTTGCAGTTATTTTGAATAAAAGCGTGCCATTTCTAAGTAAATGGATATCGGTTTTCATATTTTGTACATTTGAAAATCTCGTAATTCTCTTTTTTGTAATTTGGTTTTTGATAAATTGAAATATAAGACATCCCCCGAAGAAAATTGAAATAAGACCCAGTATTATTTTCGGGGAAACACAGTATAGAACCATCAGTTATCCCCTCACAAGAGACAGAAGAAACTAAGTCATCATTGAACATGTATTTAAGACCCCAAAGCAGCAAAATATTGTGATTGGGAACAAAGCAAATCACCAGCTGGCCAACAGACATAGGTGAAGCCCTGGTATCAAATCCCTTCATATGATGGCATCAGTACCAACTAAAATTTCCAATTGGGTTACCAAAAGGCCAGAAATGGTTGAAAAAAGGAGGCTGTAAACCTGATTGTACGAACCATTATAATTTACCAAGATCAGGCCGACCTAAAACCATAACTGCCATAACCATCTATATATTGCAATGTTAGAAAAAAAAATGTTTTCACAACGGCCATATTATCAAAGTGATACTTGGTTGTGGAAATTCACCCATTTCGAAACCTTGTGTGTAGGTATAGAAAAATTTAGTTGCTGAAAGTGCATATTTATTCCATGGCCGCTTAATTTTGCACAAAAAGAATTTAGATAGCAGACGAGTTTTAGTCAAAATATAAATAAAATAAAGAGTCCAGTCCAAAAATGTTTTTATTTTCTTCTCATTTGTAGAATTCATGGTCCTGTTCATCCTTTTTCATTTGGTTTTTGTAGGCTTTTTCAAAATCTTTAGCAAGAACTATGTATCGATTTTCACGAACTGCCATCATGCCGGCTTCTTGACATATAGAATTGATATCCGCTCCTGATATTTTATCTGGTCGAGCCACGTCTAAAAATTGAGATAAACACATTTGTAAGCTGAGGAGGTAGGTCTTCTTGTGGCACCTTTTATAAGTATTGGGGATTCTAAACTATTCATTACTTTAGTAATATGTTTTATGCAGCACTGTAGCTCACATTTGACTATGTTTCCTTTTTATTGGCTTTCTCCATCATCGAGTCAATGCATCTGACACGCATACCTGGTTAACAATTCCCATATCTAAATGAGCGGGGAGGTCGTGGAGGTTCACCATATGATTAGATAAAAGACGTCTTATCAGTTATCACCAACTCAAGATATCTAACCATGTCAAAATATGACCGTTCAGAGCCATTAAACGAATGCTCTGCAAGAATTTTGCATAAAATGGTGTCGCAAGCGTGGGGATTAAGTCTAGACCTTAAACGAACAATTCCAACATAGAAAGACGAGAATATCGGTCAAAGACCGAAGACTTATCGATCGAAAGTTAGGGGATCCCCGAAACAGCGCTCTTACTCCATAGTGACACCTTGTGTCCCATCACTAATTAATTAATAACTCGCTAATTATACAACATAATTCATCCAAAATCAATAGGCTTCTGGTCCGACATATGATGAATGCACATGCAGTAACTGAGGCAGTTTCAATCTCACTTTCGTAAGATATCGCGTGCATTTAAGATAGATCGATTCAACCACTTAACTACTTGGACATGAAACAAATACAGCGTACAATCTAAATTTCGTTATGAAGTCAGTTCTCAATATATCTTAACCAGGTTAAGGCCAATGAACTATCCAGTACCGATAAATTGCTTTTGAAATTTAAAAAATTTGGGACTTTATGTACTTGGGATAGTAACCATGTTGTTGAGTCCTGTTATAATTTCAGTTTTATTATGAAGTCAGTTTCCAGTATATCTTCACCAATTTTGTTTTATTCTAATCAACAAGGGCTAACAAACTATAAAGTATAGATAAATTCCCTTTTGCAACCTAAACAATTTCAAGGCATTATGAATACCCTGGACATCATTGGTTCTCAGAGTTGATTGGCTGGGGGCAGGGGCGGACACTTTCCATAATTTTGGGGGGGCGAACTTGGATCGCCTACCGAAAAACACCGCGCCGTGTATCGTCACGTAACAATAACCTGTCGATGTCATTCTCTTAAGTATTAGCATGTCAGTTTGCTACTCATATATCGATTACCTAGGCTGCTTTGCTCGGACACGAAACTTGCGCGTCACTGAACCAATTTCTTGAATTCCGCGAGAATTAGCCCACGGCTCTTGCTAACATACAGAAAATAACAAATTTGAGGTGTCGTATTAGGTTATTGTTTCAATTCCTAGTTCTGCATAAAGCGCACTAACGCCGTTTCGTGAAATTAGAAATGCAAAACAAAGTAACAAGCTATTGTGCGAATTTTTTTCCTAAATTTTACCAAGGAATTATCATTTGACTAGTAGAATTGCCATTATTGCCGATTTATTAAATCATCATTTGAACTCGAAATAACATTCAGGATTCACGCAATGACTTTGCAGGGTTTTTATTTATAATTTAATACGAAAATAAACAGGCACAAGTTCAGGCGCGCAGCCAGGATTTAAAAAAAAAAGGCGGGTCAAAGTCGGAACTTCCCACTGCCGTCTGCAACAAGCACCGCGATTACGCGCTCAATAAAAGAGCCGCCTATTTGAGCGTATAATGATTTTTCTGTCGATCCATGACAGCCACGAGATTCTAAAATGTCCTTATATATTAAATTGTGTGCAACTTAACTCGCGGTTGCGACTTCTTACGTCAAAATAAAAATATTACTAAACTTAAAGTACCACGGCGATATGTGGACATAAAAATATGAGATAAGCTGCCTGATGTATTTAATTTTGATACGTATTTTTGCAATCTTCCGAACTCGTTATCGTCGTTACAAAAATCTCGATATCTGATATAAAATCCGATATAGTACAATTTTAATTCATACAATGAAAATAATTATAAGGTATACTAGTAAATCAAAAATACAAATACACCGCCTCGAAATCCACGCGGAACAGTCGCCGCGATTACGCCACTTGTTAATAGAGCCGACTTCATCAACGAAAAATGATTTTTCACTTGTGCAAAGTAATCAATCAAAGACCGATACGGGCATATTCAAAATGTCTTGATTTATTAATTTAATTGTCTTCAATTTAAACTGCGGTTGAGTCGACAAAACAAGGGCCACTCTAAAACACGACGGAAAAAACCTTTCGAAAAATCCGTAAATTTTCTGTCAATTTTCACGTAGTAAAAGTTATTTCAGTACAATAAAAATACATAAATAAATACAAAAAGTGATCGAATATACTTTAATTATCTTATATATCATCACAAACCGTGGAAAAGTCGCGTTCTCAGCTTTGTTTAATGGTAACACGAAAATTTTCGACGTCAATTTTAAAGTAATGGATAAAAAGGCAAATCCCGCTCACAATTGACCGTGTTTCGATTTTAGTAACGAAATATTTTTAAAGGTCAAGCAAACATAATTTGTGCCGTTGGCACACGAAATTTTGCGATTTTCGATGCCTAGAAAAGCGTTTTTAGACTGTCGCGGGCCTCAAAACTTATATTGTTTACAGTTTTATTTTTAGTATTTTATATTGCCGCTTTTCAACTTTTCGACAAAGTAAATGCTTTGATCTTTGCCCGCAAATTATGCTGGGCCTTGCACGAAATCCATAACGTAAAAAGATACGTCCCGCGGTGAAAATTGTTTAAAACAAAAAACTTTAGATCTAGTTAATTTTTTAGCGATAATAATTAATTGTTGTAATGAAACACAGTTTGCCTCTTTCATTTCTTTCGCAAGTGCCAACAATAACACTATTGAAAGATTTTGACAATGAGAAAATCATATTAAATTGTACAAAAATGAGTTAGTTGTGCAAAACCGTGGCGCGTGATCGGCGGTGCGTTTGAAGACGGAGTATTACCCGTGCGGGCGCGCATGTTTCACGAAAATGTGAGGTGCTCCGAAGGCGCATTATTGTAAGAAAACAGTTATAATATCGGTAACTATTAACCGTTTAATGGCGCTTGACTATCGCACTTTTCGGAAATGATAATTTTGTAGGGCGGAAACAACATGTATTAAATTTTTTTGCGAAATTATTGGGGGGGCGACCGCCCCCCCTCGCCCCCCCGGGTGTCCGCCCCTGGCTGGGGGCCAAAATTAGAAGTGTAGGGACATCCGCGACCGATACGTAAAATCAAGATAACGGTATATTTGACTTATTACGGGTACTCAAACGCTTGGAACTGTGAAAATGATGTAACAATTTACGGTATCTAAAACGCAAAAAAGTAGAAACGAGAATATCGGTCAGAGACCGAAGACTTATCGATCGAAAGTTAGGGGATCCCCAAAACAGCGCTCTTACTTCATAGTGACACCTTGTGTCCCATCACTAATTAATTAATAAATCGCTAATTATACGACATAATTCATTCAAAATCAATAGGCTCCTGGTCCGAGATAAGATGAATGCACATGCAAAATCTGGAGCAGATTCAATCTCGCTTTCATGAGATATCACTCAAGTTCGGCGGGCCATATTAAATCATAACGTGAACTGCAGTTTACTCGCAGGAAGCGGTTTAGGAACCACTGATGTACAGAATTAAAAAAACTAGCTCAACGTTACTCACAGTCTTCTAAGTCAACTTCATCACTCAGATTCATTTGTCCTGTAATTGTTGAAAAAATTAATCGCTTTTGCCGTCGATCGGGAATCGGGAATTCAATCTTACGATCCAGACGTCCAGGACGTAGCAAAGCTGGATCAAGAGTGTCAGCTCGATTGGTTGCCATAATAACCTGAAAATAAATAATTAACCATTATTCTGATTTCTGAACCAGGGGTTTGCAAAGTGCGGCCGGCCCATGGTCCAAATGCGGCCCACAACAAAAAAGTGCACGGCTCGCTGAGAAGTGTCAATTTTGAATGGTGTCAGCCCCACAAAACGAGTTTTAAATTTTAGTTCGATCTAGTACATGCGAGTAAGCGAGTAACTCCACTCCTCTGATTGCAAAGGTTATACCTGAGTTCGTGCTAAGCCAACAGGCATAAAAATTTGCCTGCAACTACTAAAAAGCCTATGTTGAATGAAGGTCCATGCATTTGCAACAAATAAGTGGTTAACTAACTGGTAACCGGATGAGAGGTTGTGGGTCATGTTGTGATTAGGGCCTCTAATAGTCCCAGGGATGCATACAAAAACCTATTCCTCTGGTACAGGTCACAATCGGGTTGGAAGGAAAAGAATATCCAACACATAACAATTAACTACATATACATCCTTTTTGGTTTTAGGAATAATATGGAATATTTTATTGTAACAGAATTAAAAGATCTTACCTTCACATTAACTGTCTGATCAAACCCGTCCATTTGATTCAAAAGTTCAAGCAAGATTCTTTGGACCTCACGATCAGCTGTTAAGTAAATATATGGTTGAATAAGTAATCAATGCTCAATTATATGGGAGTGAAGAACCTCAGTTCAGGTGTCATATGAAATTGTTCCCGTACATTTAAAAAAAATTTTTTCCATAAATTGAAATAAAAGCAAAATTTGTGGTCAAATATAGGGCGCTAAGAGAAATTTGGAAAATGTATGAAATTAAGTGGTTATTAAGTGCTCAAATAGACACAAAGTCCAAGATGTTACGAACGAAAAATTGTCCAGCCCATGGAGAAGTGCCTATTTTGAATGGTGGGCGAAGTGAGTTTCAAATTTACTTTGATCTAGTACGTACGTTCCAATCCTTCCATGTTGCAAAGCCTATACTTGAGTCCAATTTATTTTCTAAGCTTATGACGTTACAATGGCCTAACAGCCAGCTTGTGCAAAGCAAAATACGTACAGGTATGTCATACGATCAATAACCAAAATTTTTGCCCCCGCAACTACTACAAAGCTTATGTTAAATGAAGGTGCGGCCTTCAGTTTACACAATTATCCGTATCCTACCCTTCTGTATAAAAGGTTGCGCACCCCTGAACTAAAACAATCACCTCCAGTCTGTGCATCAAATCTTTTTGTAGCAATTGCATCAATCTCATCAATGAATATGATCGCTGGTGCATTCTCTTTGGCAAGTCTGAAAGAATGTGTTGTGGTTAAAGAGGAAAGAGATTTATTATCAATAATGATAGGGATTATCTCAGTTCTCAGATAATCAATTTATCAGCATATAAGACAGATAAGCGATCAATTAATCAATGCTAGATAGAAGAAGCAAGGGTAGTGATGGTTCGCAGGTGGGTAAAATTTTAACTTTTTCGATTAAAAAATGCAGTGACATAAAATTCGTCATGAGAACAGTATATAATTGCTTACCCTACACTTTTAAAAAATTGGTAAAATTCCACGGTTGCTTGGAATGGCCCATATACACATTCTGGCCACTGAACAGACATAGCCTAATCATCATTTGACGAATACCGATATCCTCGCATATAAGCCGATTTGAAACTTAGAAAAAAGTTGCCAAACCAAAGGAACGGTTTATACACGCATAACTCGATCGCAATCTTGATCACACTTACAGGAAAACGCTTTTTTCACATTTTAAAAGGGTGGTTCCGACCTGCAACTCCACAGCCATACACAATGTGCCTCCTCACCAATATTTTCTAACCTAGTATTGAAATAATACGATAAACAACAAGAAATTACCTGAAAACGTCCCTAACCATTCTAGGTCCTTCTCCGAGATATTTTTGTACGAACTCGGACCCCACAACTCGTATAAAAGCAGCTGTTGTGTGATGTGCAACAGCTTTAGCCAACATAGTCTTGCCACATCCTGGTGGCCCAAACATAAGAACTCCTCTTGGTGGGTCAATACCAATCTAAAATAAAAGGAAAACATTTTTTTTTTGTCTTTCCTTTGAACAAGTCTCTTCATAAACAGTCACAGCTAGGTAAAGAATTACGAAAGTTTGAAAAGCTCTTTGGCTCGACATTGACTACCCAAATTATTATGTCATAATGAGGTGGTGTGGATTGGAAGTTTATATTATGACACTAAGAGTATTGACATGCGAGTTGTCATCGCAGGTCTATGATCTCAGATTTGAACTCTGTGGACATTTCTTCGGCCAGGGTTCAATAAATCGATAGACAAGACCAAACTGGAAAGCTGTACTTCCGAATAACAGCCAGAAGAGCATCAAACCAGGTTTGTTGTTTTTTAATCAGTAATTGTAAAGTATTTTTACCTCATTTAATACATCTACGAAGGCCAAAACAATATATGGTATCAATAAACTACCTTTGCGATTTTGAAATTTTAGGACTTTATGGACACCCTATATATCAAAAGTGGAACACTCATATACAGATCTTAGATCAGCAAATTTTTCCACTTTGAGGGGCGACCTTGCATTGAGAGAAACTTGGACAAAAAAACTCTAAAAATTACAAAAATTTCAGCCATTTAATTATACCTGTTTATATAACTCGAAATGTGTCAAAGGCAATTCCACAGCCTCCCTGACTTCCTGTTTCTGAATATCCATTCCTCCAATGTCAGAGTATGCAACATCTGGCTTTTCATCTGTGATAAAAAAAAAAATTCAGGCTATTTGCATGAGTCAAGTTAAGTTTATTTTTTCCAACCAGTGAAAAAAACTGACACAAATATGAAAAAAATATTACTAACAGTGGGGAAGGGGAGTAGCGAGAAACCAAAATTGCTTACAGAGCAGCGACACCCAAAAATGACAATAGTTAAGCATTTCTAGATAAAGTGATTTGGAACAACCATCATAATGTGGTATGATAGGCCATACTAGGTTATTAATAGTCAGAGCAGAAGAAACATTGTGATGTCATAGGGCATAGATCAGTGGTTGGCAATCTTTTTCCAGTGACAGACCGGTAAAGCCTGACAAAAATTTTGGCGGACCACCTTTATACAAACGAACTAATTTAATGTAATAAATTATGTGACAAATGTATGTTGACAATACATTCAAAAAAAAGGTGATGCTATTCGCGTAACGTATTTTTTACTTTAAACCCAATTCGATCTTTCGTTTTTGTAATTGCCATTTTAAAAACCCAACCTCACATAAAGATAACAATGGCATTGTACGTTTTCATGTCACCTTTCTGCGGACCGGTAGTGACCTTTCCGCGGACCGACGATGGGCCGCCGCCCGATGGTTGCCGACCACTGGCATAGAAAATGAATAGGACTCAGGTATCAGATTTGCAACGCAAATTGATTGGAACTAGAGCTGCGTGCAGCTTTAACAGGCTTCCCGCGTAAAAAAAATTTGCATTTGATTGCTAGCTGAAAACTTCTGCACATTTGAGGTGAATTTCAAGTTTGTAGGACCAATTTGAAAAAATAATAATAATAAATAAATAATAATAATAATAAAACACAGGAATACAATAGGTTCCCTGCTGACAAGCAGCGGGAAGCCTAATTACTGTCACAAAACAGATTAAAATTAATCAAAAACTCGTTTCATCGGGCCATATACATAAATATAATATGAAATGTAAGAACATTTTTCCATTAAAACTAAATCCAAACACACAATAAGTCTACAGTCTTACCTGCAGAAAGCATAGTAATACTGCTGTCAGCTTCAGGAGGAAGAACGTCGACTAAAGCATTGCTATGTTTATGAAGAGCAACTGATGCATTCGGTTTGAGAAGTTCCCTGGAAATAAAACAGAATGGTCAGATCAAAACAAGAGCTGCTTTAAATGAGTTGATCCCTAAACCGAGATAAAGATTTAATATGGCTAGCCGAACTTATGTGGAATAGTTTAACACTTTGTGTTTTGTTTCTTTTAGGAGCGGCGGTGTGGCTCAACGGGCTAAGTGTTAGAAATACACTCGCCACCGCACCTCTAATTACTCTGCGTGAGTTCGCAGGTTCGAATCCCATGCAGGGATGGTTATGTGCGAGAGGATTGCTGGACTCCTCACCGTCGTTGGGTGGTTCACGTAACTGCTGGTCGGTTACGGCTTCCTCCACCACCTAGTCCATGCTTCCGAAAACAAACAATATAACTAATCCCATACCCGACTTGGAATGGTAACCGGACGAGAGGCCGTGGTTCACCATATGGATAAGCCGTCTTATCGGCTTTCCTCTCCCCCGGGATAAATATGTAAATCCTATCCTATCCTTTTGTGTTCAAGATACCACCAATTGTTACGTCATTATCAAAGTTTAAACATTGGTATATTCATAACAATTCAGTTTGGTATCTTAACAATTCGATATTGGAGAAAAAGCAATATTCATTTTAGTAGTCTACGATTTCAGATACTTTTTTCTAGACTCCTGTGAAATACACAGTAATGTTAAAAGCTTGCTAAATATCAATGCCGTGGAGTCAAAGTTCAGGAATTTTTACTTGTATTGGAGTAAGTGTTGTATTTTCAAATCCCTTGGTCTAGGCACAATAAATTTACTTTTCCAGAGTCTGGACCCAAAATTACCAACAGAAACAAAAAAGGATTATAAATGTAAAGATTTTTACATTTTGTTATTTTAGAGAAGGAGTTGAATTTATCTTCACACTGGTGTTAAGAATTTTTGAATTTCTATCGAACTATTATCCACAACCCTGTTGGGCGATGGTAGACATTTAGGCAAAGTCTTGTAGGAGATATTTTATTGAAAGACATCAAATAAAAAGTTTCAAAAGCATTATGGGTTGTGTCATTGCTTCAAAGTGAGTATTATAAACTTTCATGAAAAATAACACATTGTGTACACATAAATTTGCTGAGCAAATACTTGTAAAAAAACTTTTTTGACAATACCTATCAATTGTGCTGAGTATCCTGACATAGTAATTTGACCCAGTGGTAGATCCAACAATAGCGTTGTTCTGGTCCACTGCTTCCAAGAATTGACCAATCACAAGAGGAATACTTTGGATACGCTTCACTTCTTCTTGAGCGTGCAAATACTCCTTTCGAAGATTTTTCATTTCATCTAAAACAATAAAAAAAAATTTGAAAATTTACCTTCAATGCTATCATCAACAATTGTCCGGTTATTTGTAGCAATTCAGTTCGGTATTTTAATTATATGTATTGGTACCAAAACCGTTTTGAATGTTTCAAATTAAAAGTCTAAATAAGTACATTAGATATTGTACTTTGTGTGTGATATCGTGGTACTCTTTGCAAATTCATTGTGCCCGAGACCCTCATTTTAGAAAGCCGTGCTATGGACAACCAGTTGGGTAAAGCCCAGGTTGAAGACCACTAATCTGGAACCTCAGTCAAGGGCAGTCATAAAAGATGTTAGTATTAAAAAAAAATAAAAGTTGAAACCTTTAATGTATTCTTCCTGAACTCCCAAAAATTCCAGTTGTTTCTGTAATTTCTTATATTTTGTATAAAGATCCTCTATTTTATCAATCTCTGTAGAACTTAGCATTGATTGCACAGTCGTAGGACGAGATGACGCCGGTGTTCCAACTTCACTGTCAGCCTGAATAAACAAATAAAAAAATTGACTATTTTTATGGACTATGTGTTTGAGTGAATAGCTCGGCGGTGTGGCTAAGCATTAGGATTAACTCCACAACCGCACAACTGATTACCCTGCGTGGGTTTGTAGGTTTAAATGCCATGCAGAGTTAATTATGTGTGAGAGTATTGCTAGACTCTTCCTGCTGCAAAATGGTTCACGTTACCGCTGGTCAGTTACGGCTTCCTCCACCAATCAAGTCTGCAAGTTCATCCTTCTGAAAACACAATAACTGGCTAATGTAACTAATGCCATTCCCGACATGGCTGGCATGGACTGGTAACCAGACAGACAGAAGCTGTGTTCCAGCATATGATTAAGCACTCTTATCAGCTTTCCTATATGCTGGAATAAATACCGGTACCGTACCATACCGTATCCTTTCCTATCTTTTTGACATTGTTTTGTGGAAATAAAATCTCTCTCTCTGTCTATCAGTCTATCTAATACAACAACATAAGATCATAGTTGAGATTGACGTGACCAGTACCATACCCGTACCTACAGTAACGCATAAAACAATAATCAATCACTGTTATTACTGCTGAAATATTTTCTTTATTATATTATGCTTTTATTATATCAGTATGTGTGTGTGGCAATAAATCTCTCTCTTAACTTCAACATAATGTTAGCCGAAATAAATTCGACATAGGCCTAGCACTGTATCTAGGCACTAAAACAATGCTATAAGTTTTATTTTAACTCCATATAATAATATTTTGAAATCCTCTCACCGGTTTTACAAATACGTCTTCCATTTTCCAGGTTATGAAATTCGAAGCATAAGAAAAAGAGAATCAGTTTCGAAAACAAAAATTACTTTAGCTAACGCGGAAATCATGAATCAGCAGATATCAGAACTGCCAAGTAATTTGTAATCGCGCCACCTACCGATGTGAATGGAAATGCCTGATTTAAAAGCATTTATTAAATTCTACAGTTGTATTATTATTAATGCAATCTATTCAATTAAATGTTAGGGACTATTACCGCAGCAAAATACGATGCAATCAAGTCAAAATATATACAATGAAAATCGTATCCAAAACTTCAAAGGAACCGAAGTCACCTGGTTTTACCTCACCTTGCCATAAACTGGTGACCGGACGAGAGGCCGCCGGGATAAATATGTAAATCTTATCTTATCTTTAGGGCAGGTATGAGCAAGGTTTTTGGACTTCGGGCTGGCGGGCCATGTTAGTGTGACGTAAAGGTTACATTTTATAATTAATATTTTGAGTATTACAAAAGCAAAAGTGAGGAACAAGAAGCATCGGGCCAAAACTTAATTTAATCGCAATCTCAACATATTCCTTGAGCTATTTTTAGCTAAAACATCTGAATTTGTTTATAGTTTGGTTGTGACAGCATCGGGCGGGCCAGATTGAATTACTCAACGGGTCGCATTTGGCCCGCGAAACTTAGTTTGCCCATGTCAGTTTTAGAGTGTCTGTCCTTACACACCCCTGATTTAATCGAATGACTCGGGCTCAGCCAACGACTAACATACCGGCCAACGATTGGGCTCAGCTAACCACCAGCGAGACTTACCTCAGTGATTGATTCGACTTCGGACTCGAATTAACCCGGATGACCCGAGTTTAGGGACTTCTACCAAACACTGTCGGTGGTGGATTTTAGAGAATCGTCTAGGGAAAAATATAAAACCTTTCGGACCTTCTGAAGTATGTGCACCAAAATGGCGCACAACCTGAACTAAGGTTGTGTACCAGTTTAGGGGTTCAGGTTATGCGACATCTTGGTGCGCATACTTCAGGAGCACCAACCTTTCAGTGGCCATACAACACAAGAAAATACGCTCAAATAAATTTAAATATCAATAAAATAGAAGAATTATATCGAGGTATTATTCGCAGATAATACATAGGTTGGTAAAATTTTGATCCAATTTATATAAATTCTCCAAATAAAGATGGTGATAACTAAAAAAGCCAACTAAGTTACCATTTTTGCTGCTAACACAGTCGATGCATTTCGATCCAATTGGTAACGTTCGGGATTACGCTTGACTAACTAACTTTCCTTGCTCCATGCAGTTGCGCAAGTGAATCCGTTGCTTACAAGTTGTTACAACGTAAGGATGCTGTAACAAAAATAAAGATGACTATTCTATTTAATTAAATAACACAAGTTTGATTCAAGAATCTCGCTGCTCATTAACACAAATGTATTTCTGTAACGTTTCGTCTGACTGTAGTTGAAATATACTTGTCTGAAAAAGTTTGTATCTTTCAAACGAAACGCCACATAAATACATTTTTGTTAGCGTGCAGCAAAACTCTTAAATCAAATAGAACAACTACGAAAACTAACTAGTTTTACGAAGATTTTCAACAACGGAATCCATCTTCATTATACCGTACTAGTTGAACTCAAATAACATATCTTCAAACCGCACTCACGTTTAGCTTAGGCAAGCGTATGAGGGGAATTCAAGAGTTATATGAATACACCACCGCAGGTCATATAAACAGAAATGCCTTTATGACTATGCGTAATATCCGAATCCGTCGATTTAAATTCACCAAATCGAGAGCGCGTACTTGAAGTGTTCAATGCGCTTTAAAGTGAGAGCAGTTTATAGCTTATTGAAGTGCTAGTATATTCTACGAGTTATAATAGGACAGAAGATTATTATTGTATGGTCGCCAGACCATTGAACATGGTGGCAAAAATTTCGCATTAATTGAAAGTAAACGGTAAGAGTTAACCAGTTATTTGTTTTCAAAAAGTAAAATGGCTTTATTTGTACACGAGAACAAAAGTTTTACGATCTTTTTTAGAACAGAAATTTCTATTTGAGTTAGCGCTGTCAAATGTGTATTGAAATGTCTTTTTCTGAACGTTTCGCCTATCTATGCATTGGAAAGTTCAGTCGGCAGATTTCTACTATTGTCAGAAACAGCTTATCTTGTACGCGGCGTAGCAACAAACGCTATGTCATTGGAATGTAAATGGAATGAAATATTTGGAAGTAAAGCTTACAAGTGTTACAAATGAAACTGGGATAATAGAGTTCTGTTGTGTGTTTAGGTACATTGTAATATGTGTAAACCACTTCAGAGTGATATTCTAGTTTGGCTTTGAAAACAATGTAAGACCCAGATGGGCGGACTATTCTGTGCTCATGTTTCTGTCCGTTTATTAAGTCTGGTAAGCAGATTCTACTATATTCGAGCAAAGCTTGTCTGTGGCACAGCAGTCGAAGGGTCAAACTAATAGACGAGAATTAGTACATAGAATGTCTGTGGTGTACGCTGTTTTCGAATAGGCTTAGCACCACTTGTATATATGACATTTTAGTTCAGTTTTGTGTGCATAGTAAAACCTAGACGTTCTTGAAAGTGTTATTGAATTTGTTTTGTCTACGGGAGAAATATTTAGGATTAATTACTTATTACAATCAATTTATTTGTCTAATTATTTATTTGTAAATTTTGTATAATATGTTAGTATAGGATCTTTAATTCGAATTGATCAAAGGAGCAAAATACCACTGATGGTATAAGCGCCAAAACAACAAGACCTAGAATGGCCGACAAACTTACTGTTTGTATCTCCACTGCTCCTGCGTGTATTTTATCGCCATGTATTGTTACAATTCTCTCATGAAATTTCAATAAAATGCTCCATTTGCGTTAGCGCTGTCTACTTGTGTATTGAAATTTTTGTCTGTACGTCTATTCGTTTAGAATTATGGTTAGCAGTGTTGCTATAGTCGAGTAGGCAGACTTAAGCAGCGTAGCAGAACAAACATGTGCTATTAGAGTGGGACTGAAGCGATACTCAATAGCGAATATCAGGTACTCCCGAAGTATGCGCACCTAGATGTCTCACAACCTGAATCCTAATCAGGTACACAACCTGAGTTCAGGTTGTGCGCCTTCTTGGTGCGCATATTTCAGGAGGTCCGAATATTATTTGTGCGGTCGATAGAGCATTGGTAATAATGGAAATAGTATCGCATTAATGAAACGTAAAATTTATGTGTGTTAAAAGAAGGCAGGAAAAATAGAGTTTCTGTAGTTTGTATAGCTTCAGAGAAATGTATACATCCCTTTGCCGCTGGTCGGTTACGACTTTCTCCACCATCGAGTCCATGCATCTGAAAACAATTAACTGTCTAAGTAATCCCATACCCGACATGGAATGGTAACCGGACGAGTAACCGTGGTTTGCCATATGATTAAGCCGTCTTATCGGCTTTCCTCTCCCCGGGATAAATATGTAAATATTTTTTTGGCCGGGAGGTGGGAGGGGGCAGTTATTTTTTTGTATAATGACGTAATACGACGCTTACTTGTGCTCTTTGTTGTCGAAGTTATCCAAGGTATACAAGCGCGCATTTTCATATATCTCACTTAATTCATTTGGTAAAAGGATTATTGATATCAAGCCATGGAAAGTCCGGTTTTGTGTAAACCGGCTAAGAATAGTAAAAATGGTGTTGTAAAAGAAAAATTGAGTCGCACTGCAAATGCCGCAAAATTGCAATCGAAAAAATAGGCTAAAATTATGGTTGTTGGCTACCCTTACAATAGTGAGACCTGGAATGACCAGGCAAAGTTATGTTTCCATTTCTTACCTTATCGTTTATATCTTCACTGCTCTAGAGTGTATTTCACCGCCATGTATTGTCACAATGCTCCCAACAATTTTCAATAGAATGTTCTGTTTGCATTAGCGCTGTGTATTGAAGTTCTTGAACGTTAGCGGCGAGGAATCCAGCAATCCTCTCACACATAATTAACCCCGCATGGGATTCGAACCAGCACAGGGTTATCAGAGATGCGTTGGCGAGCGTATTCCTAACGCCTACGCCTATTCCTTATTTCTCTTATCCAAACAAATGGTTCGAAAATTTACAGCGATGTATTTTTATCATTTACCTCAGGTTGAAAAAATGGCGTCAGAAAGGCTTTTACATGCAATAGTACTATCTTTACAATCAATACAGTTTGCATTGGCTCTTTTTTGCCTGCTTTCCAACACCTGGTTGGTCACTTCAAACGGGGAAGCAAGTCAAGGCCTGTTTAACCGATGCTTCCCTGCTGACAATGACTCGTGCATAGAGGTGAATGATTGCCTTTCTTGCAATAGCAGTTCTGGCGATAAAGAATGTGTTGCTCTACCTGGATATAGTAAGTTAATATTCATATTGCGGTGCAATGTTTTTCAAACTGGGCACAGGAGACCACTAGGGGCGACGAGCCTACTATTTGCGAAGCGAGACTATACATTAACTTAGAAATTTTAGAGTATATTCAATTTCCTTGATCGGAGAGAAAGGCGTGAATAACCGTCGTATAAAAATATCCCAACGTTAGCCCTCATGCCATCGTGCCCACATGATAAATATAATATATGGTCACATGTTATGAATTTTTTATTTTCAAATTTTGAGTTTGGGTTTGAAGCCGATATTTTTTCAAATACATTTTTCTCAAATGTGAGTCGAAGTCCATTGTAATTTTGTTCTCCCGTAGTGTGTGTACCAAGTAGGGTTAAGCCATAGTTTTATTCCGATTTTCCCTATTTTAGTTCTATCACGAGTTCGGAGACTGTCTGTGTTAGCCAAGTGAATATGACTGCCCATATGTTTCAGTCCCTTTACACAACTTGATGTGAATAAGGCGAACAAAATTAGTTACCTCCATATTGATACATACACTTCTGGAGCGCCGTAAATTTCCCCACAAAACTCCACAACAATGCTTGTAGTTATTGTATTTATTTCATTTTCTCAGCTCAGGGGCCGGACGAGCTTATTGTGGGAGGTCTTTTAACAACATCCGTTATCTATCGTGCCATCATAATGGTCATAACCATATTTCTCCTGTGCACTGGCGAAGATTCTGCACCAGATATGCGGAAAGATCTGAAAGATTACCTGCCCAAATTTGAAGAATGCTCAGGTAACTAATCAACGCTTCCTTTTTTTGTAGCGCGTTTTCACGAGTCCAACACTTTTGTTGTTACCGGGTTATAGGTCCCAGGTCGGAACAGCTCGCCTAATCAAATAAAGGGAGGCCTAATTGAACTGGAAAATTTTAAACGCCACAAAACCTATCGTTAAGTTATCGGGGGGTTCGACCATTTGAAAAATTGTATCATCATAGTAGTTGCCAGATGGTCGGTTTAAAAGTCAAGGAAGGTTTCGCTGATGTAAAATGTTTCCCATACAAGTGGGACGTCAAATTAAAACTTCCTAAACTTTTCAAGGCTTCATTACATCAAGTGCGGCGGTATGGCTCTTCGTGCTAAGCGTTAAGAATACGCTCGCCATCGCACTTCTGATTACTCTGCGTGGGTTCGCATGTTCGAATCCCATGCGGAGATAGTTATGTGCGAGAGAATTGCTGCACTCCTCGCCGCCGTAGGGTGGTTAACGTAGCCGCTGGTCGGTGACGGCTCCCTCCACCATCAAGTCCATGCTCCCGAAAACAAATAACTAACTAATCCCATACCCGACATGGAATGGAAACCAGACGAGAGGCCGTGGTTCGCCATATGATTATGCCGTCTTGTCGGTTTTCCTTACTCCCGGGACAAATATGCAAATCCTATCTTATCCAGGTTCCTAGTAATTCAAAAATCCGAGGCTCTCGCTCGGATTCAATTGAGCACCTTACATTTAATGTTTTCTTACTTCAGGTGTGTGTGACATAGGCATTCTAGGCATTTACAACTTTATGAATATGACGAATCGTTCTGGTGACTACTGCTTCATATTCGGTGCAGCATATTGGGTCAACTATCTTCGACCGTTTCTGTCTCTACTTTTACTTCGAGGTTTACCTGGTTGTTTACATTATGCGGGGAAGTCAAAGGTCATCCGGAAGTGTGTGAACCGGAAAACATCGAAAACACCAGATACTTAGTTGAACTTACGTTCGTCAAATGCTAATGACTAATATGTGAATATGTATTATACGTTATTCAACTATTCCACTCCAAATAATATCCTGAGCAAGCACAAAAAGGGGGGAGAAATTCACCCCAATTTTGTACTTATATCGTGAAAAGAATCTTTATTCTATCTGAATATACACGGATGTTTGCTCGAATCTTGACCCATGAAAAAACTCTTTCTATACTTTTAAAATTGTTGATGCTCTTATTGAGATGATTCTCGAGAGTTAGCACTGACAGGCCGGTTCATATGTTCAAAACTATCATTATGATTCAAAGTATAACCACCTAGTATTTGGAGGTACTGATAGATAATTTCAGCACAGTCTATCGCTGTCCATGCTTCCGAAAACAAATAACTGGCTAACTAATCCCATACCTGACCTGGACCGGTAACCGGACGAGAGGCCGTGGTTCGCCATAGGATTGAGCCGTATTATCGGCTTTTCTCTCCCCGGGATAAATATGTGAATCCTTCCTTCCTTCCATCTAAACTAAATTTCTCGCAATACAAAATGACCAATTGCGCAGTTTAGATTTTGTTACTGTTTTTTTTTTATTAAGTCAGAAGACTCAAGATTCCGGATTGGACAAATTCGGATGTTGACACAATACTCAGACCGAAAAAACAGCATCGCACAAGTGTTAGCAAAACAGTATACAAGCATAAGAAAATATATACACAACACGGACACTATGGTCCGTGGCACAATGAAATTAATTTTATACATCTAAAATAGGAAATACAACTAAAACTTGAGAAAATATATACACAACACGGACACTATAGTCCGTGGCACAATGAAATTTAATTTTCATACATCTAAAATAGGAAATACAACTAAAACTTGAGAAATATGCAGCGAAGTCAGGAAAATGGGCCAATGTTATCCGAAGTGCCTTAGGTATGAACAAAAACCCCAATGTATGTCATTTATTGACGGTGCACCTTAAAACCTGGTCTCAGTAAAATACAGTACAAATGTGCTTTACGGTTCATTTTTGAATAGAATTTTCTGTTTGTGTTAGCGCTGTTAAATGTGTATTAAACTGTCTTTGTCTGAACGTTTCGCCTATCTAAGCGGTTGAAGTTTGAACAGCAGATTCTACTGTATCTAGCAGTAGTTCTCAAACGATCCACAGGGGGCGTTAGCAATTTTTTTAAGTGACGTGGAACTAATTAAAATAAATATATTTGTTAGATTTGATCTTGCCCGCCTTATTTTGGATATTTACATTTATTACTTATCGATCTAGTTACTTATTGATCTTGATCGGTAAGTATGTTGATAGGTATTTGTCTGTCAGTATGTCTGTGTGTTAGATGCACGCGATATCTCACGAAAGCGAGGTTCAATCTGCTTCAAATTTTGCATGTGCATTCATCTTAGCTCGGATCAGAAGCCCACTGATTTTGGATGGATTATGTCGTATAATTAGCGAGTTATTAATTAATCAGTGATGGGACACACGGTGTCACTATGGAGTAAGACCACTGTTTTCGGTTTCGGATTCTAGTTTCATTATTATACGTTCCACCCCCGTATTTTCAACGTGTTTTTTGAATAAAACATACTTTCGCCTTACTATCTGTTATATGTTGCTTATTGTTAGCTAGGTGCGAGACTTATCAAATCATAAAAAAGGAGCGGCTGAAAAAGTTCATATTCAGTGATATCCACCGATATCCAGCGTATCTTGTACGCGGCGAAGCAAAACAAACGCAATGTCATTAGAATGAAAACGGAACGAAATGTTCAGAAGTGAAGCTTACAAGTGGTACAAATGAGATAATGCCGTTGTTTGTTTAGGTGCAATGTATAGTTACACCATTTCAAAATATTATAGTTTGACTTATAGCAGGGGGTGCGCCGCACTAAATACATTTTGTATTTATTATAAATGTTTTATTGTTTATTATTTTGAATGATATTATAAATCCACAAATTCATTTTACATTTGTATGTCGTTTACTTTCTGTTACGTATATAGTGTCTGCCTCAATAGTCTATAACAATCAAGTAAGACACTACTTGCTGCAAAATAGCGAGCTGCAGTTTATTTATCTGCTGAACCAAGTTTAACAAACATGAAGGATATTTTTAGCATTTCGAAGAGAAATCAGGCAGTGACGAGGAAGAGGAGTTGACATTTCTTGTTTATTATTTCTCAGGCCTACATGTTTACAAACTTTAAAAAGCATAAGTTACACAGTAGCGATCACAAAATTTGTGTTTTTATCCGTTAAAATTTTAGTCAGCAGATTCTGCTAGAGTCGAGCATAGCTTGTATATAGCGCTGGAACGCTATTCAACAATCAACAGCAATGGACCTTTCCCCGAGAATCGACTTTCTTGTTTACTTCGTGACATCCCTTTTCAACTCTGAACTCTGTTTTTGAACTCTGTTTGTTAGTTTTCGGTTGTGTTTCGGAAACTTAAATATAAATCAGATATTTCAATGATCACTCTGCCTTTCTAGGAGGTCTAATTTAATTGCAGTAATAAAAAATTAGTGTGGAAATAGCTGTGATAGACTAGGCTAAACTTCTTTACCGGTACTTTTAAAAAACAGATTGTTGTATGCGATGAATCATAATGATGGTTTGAAACACATACCCCATTTTACAGGCGCCAACTCTAAAATAGCACCGACAATTTTGCTATGGTATAGTATAGGAAGAATTTTCCGGGGGTCAAAGGTCGGGGAAAGGTCCATAGAGACTGGTATTTGTTTGGTCGATAGAGCTTTGATACTGGTAGAAAATGTATCGCATTAATAAGTTAAAATTTACGAGGGTCCAAAAAGAATGCATTTGCCGGAGCCTCATTCATTTAATATACCTCCTGAAGTATGCGCACCAAGATGGCGCACAACCTGAACTCAGGTTGTGTACCAGGTTAAAGTTCAGGCTGTGCGACATCTTGATGCACATTCCCCAGGAGTACCCATTTATGTTTTATATAACACTGAAGTGTTTCTTATAAGCTGTTTACTTCTGCGATGAAAATATTCGTAATAATATTCACTAAAATTTCCTATTTTAACTGGTTCAACAACTCAACAACTTTTAGGTACAAATTTCCAACTATGTGCAACAAATATAGTGTTCCAAATGAAAACAGAATTACACTGTTCCTTTAGGGAGATGTTATGAATAGTTTTGGTCAGAGAGACACATTACAATCTAAAAAGTTTTACGATTTGACACAACTAACGAAACCTTACAAACATCATTATTTATTCTAATTATCGTATTACTGTACCGTCAACTATTGTAAAGCAAACAGTCTTATGCAAACATGTCGTAACTGCCGCTGATTAACACCAACTATTCAATTTTTACCTAATTTTCGGTTGTGTGCTGCCTGGCTGGGTTCAGCATATAACATATCATATCACTTGCAGGTAGACAACAGATAGATTTTAGTTGTTCGTTTTGAAGCTTGTTCATCTCCAGTGTAGTATGCACCAATTAATCAGGGCTGGGCATTTTCGAATACCTGATGATTTCAGAATCAAATCGAATAATATTTTCGAATCGAATCTCGAATACTTTGGAGATATAAAATTGTATGTAACTTTTTTATTAGGTCCTCCAAGCACATAAATTACTGAAAACATAGAATACGTCACTCAGGCAGATTGCTGAGCGTTCACACACAATAAAAATACACGTTCTGGTTATACACGTTGTCATCAATAACTCACTACAGAAAAGAGTCATATGTCATAATTGCGTTGTAAAATATGACTTCAATTAAAAAAATGAGAAAGAAAAAAAAAGATGGCGACGATTCGAAATTTTTCTCTGTCTCTATTCGAATAATTTCATATACAATTCGAAATGCCCAGCCCTACAATTAAGTGATATTCTAGTTCGGCTTCGGGAACAATGTAACTTTAGAATGCCCAGGCGTTCGTGTTTTATCCGTCTAAATTTTGTTTCAGATTCGGCTTCAGTTCAGTACAGCTCAAACAGCAGAACAAACACAATGGTATTAGAAAGGAACTGGAACGATACTTGATAGAGATTTGCATGCTTGTTCATGTGACGGGATGGGATGGGACAGCGCGCATTTGTATTTTCCGCGGGACACGAAATACCGTATGATTTTTAGTGAAAATGATGGTAAAACATTTTGTTATAGATTTCGTGTCCACATATTTTAGAATAGCTCTCTTGTTAGAGAAAAAAATATATATTCCGCGTTAACATTTCTTTGTATCGGGCCACTCCTGGAAAATCAGGTCGCTTCGATTGTAATTTCTTCCTATATTCTTTTGTGAGTTTTTCTACTTTTTTATACTATTATCAATTACTGTTAGGTTTTTTTCACGGGTGTCGCTGCTCGATAACCAGTCTTGGTTTTTCGCGACTCCTTTTCATCTCGGCTTACAAGTTTCGCCTCTATTTACATACTGTATTAGTTAGTGTATGGTACGTCATGTATGTTGGATAAAATAAACTACTGATCACTGATTAACAATATACTTTGTGAGGGGGCTGATGGACCTATGTGCAATAGTTATGAATATAAAGTCAACAAAGTCCGTAAATTTTGTTGTTTTGCATGTCTCTTCCTACATGTAGTCATATTTAGTAGACGCTCAACCTAAATCTAACAATTTTTATTGAATTGTATTCCAATCGGAATCCCATGGGATGGGATGGGCCGGGCACAAATTGCTATGCGATGTAATGGGAAAGAAAAATATGTTCCATTGACTAGCCTGGAGATTTGGATCCCACTCAAAAACAAGAGAGCTACGCCCAAATATATGGACACGTCTGTTCGCAGTACAGTACGGTGTACCGTACCGTCAGATCACAGTCCACAAATATATTCACACCAAGCGAAGCAGTACAGTAGGACACAAAATGGCGTACGATGTCCGCAGAACGTTTAATGACGTCATAGCAAATAAAAACAAATCTCACAGAGCTAACAGAAATATTTAAAATGAATAAAAGTAATAGCCTTCTGGGGAAAAATTTTATCTTCAACCACTGAAAATTTCAAAGCAATTGGTCCAGTATTCGAAGAGAAAAGCGGTTCTTTAATATTTCCACTAGGTGTGTTATTCTGTGTCGAATAACAAGAACAACAAGAACAACATAATATTGAAACGATCGTTATGTCCACTACGTGTCCAAATAGCAATTATCCAGTTAGGGCTAGGAATTCCTGGTACCCATGAGTGTAAATACACAAGCGTAAAGCCTGAGGTTGTGTCTCATTGTGTTTTTCACATTTGTTCACTTATTATCATAACTCGGATCTCTTAGAGCGGTGGCGGAGGTTTTTTGTGACGGGGGCTTTGTACAAAAGATTCAACTTCTTTTGGATACTAATTCCACCTGTCCTTTTTGGAAGCGCTAACTGATGTTCATGTCAACTCGAATCTTTGTCCAAAGCTCCCGCCACTAACGCAAAAAAGTGAGATTTTAGAAAAATCCCCTCGTCACGTTTTTAAATAACAAATTAGTAATTATCCAGTTGGTCTTCAGGTTAGGAATAATTTGAATTTTCAGTGCAATCTGCATTCCTAGCCCTAACACAAAGTGTAATATTGTTTATGACTTATGTTATCGATAGACAGTGGCGTATCTAGGCTGTGGCAGCCATGGTTCATTCAATGGGCTCCGTTTGCACACGGCACATATTGCGCGAAAGTTTTAAATCGTAAAATGTCTTTATAATATAATTTCAAAATGGTAATTTTGCTCGAATAATAACGTACTAGCCTCTCAAGTTAGCAACAGTCGTTAAATATATTCAGTCAATGATTGAGGGGTTCATTTTTAAACTTTGCTATGAGCGCATTTCACGTATATACGCCACTGTCGATAGAGCAGTGGTAATGATTGTGGTAAAAATATTGAAGAAAAGTAAAATTTACAAGTGGTCCATGTAAGACAAGAATTATCACATAGAGTTCCTGTGGTGTACGCTGTTTGGTTACGTTCAGTGAAATGTAAAACTACTTGCACATATCATATTTCAGTTTGGTTCATCAATTTGCTTCATTCTTGGTATTTCTACAGGCCCTGACTGTTTAATAACTAAGGATGCTAAGTATGACCACTTACAAGTATTCGATTTTTATCCGATTTCTAAATTTTCGATTCCGATTCTCGATTTTTCGACATATCTTACCGAGAAAACATACCCACCTGAGCAATATCATATGAAATCAAAAAAGAAAGCGATGTTCAGACATAAGGATGGACAAGACTGCCAAAACTAAGTAGTATGAGTATCCAATCTGTCACAGGGGACAAAATTGAACAAAAAAAAAAAGAATCCCTCAGAACCCATAAAGATTTTAGAAATAAATAAACGTAAAAGCCTTCTAGCGAAGGCATCGTAGCAACTCAACATAGCAGTAAAGCAGTTTATACATATATGTGAAGAAATTGCCACAAAACTTTACACATTGTTTACAATCCAAGTTTTAACCTCGAGAATGGATTCCAATGCATCGGAATTGATTCTAGTCGATTCCGCAAAGAATCGAGTCTGTAATCGAATCCGGACTCGATTCCGCCATCCCTAGTAATAACATGAGTATATTTATCAAAATGCTCACAAGCCTGAAGTCCGGGATGTGTCTCATCTTGTTTATTCGTGTATTATCACAACTCGGAACTTTTGTACAACGCCCCGCCACTATTGCGACTATGTGAGCTTTGAGAAAAACACCTCGTTTTAAAATATAAAATTGTTAATGATTTGAAAATTTGAATTTTCATTGCAATCTGCATTTATAACCCATACCCTAACTGGATAATTAGGAACTTCGTTGGCGGGGGTATTTTTGGACGCTTTCTACAAATCTTATTCGAAGTTTTTTCGTATGAAGAAAAGAATCAGGACTTTGCTTTTTCAGTTTCGAACCCGCCCATGTCTTCCAATCTCTAGGTCTTTAGGTCACTAAAGGGTGCTCCCAAAGTATGTACACCAAGATGGCGCACAACCTGAACCCTAACCTGGTACACATACTATGTTCAGGTTGTACGCCATCTTGGTGAACATACTTCGGGAGCTCCCACTAAAGTACATCGGATAACCACTTGACACGTACCCCCAAATTCTTATTTCTCTTTCTAAACTGCGATGCTTTATTCCAATTTAGTACAAATAAAATGGCGTCAGAAAGGCTTTTACACCATATAGGACCAATTTTACAATCAATCCAGTTTACATTGGCTCTGATTTGCCTGCTTTCAAACACCTGGTTGGTCACTCCAAACGGGGAAGCAAGTCAAGGCCTGTTTAACCGATGCTTCCCTGCTGACAATGACTCGTGCATAGAGGAGAATGGTTGCCTTTCTTGCAATAGCAGTTCTGGCGATAAAGAATGTGTTGCTCTACCTGGATATAGTAAGTTAATATTTATATTATAGTGCAGCGGTTTCCATTTAATTTCATTCAATTTGCCATTTAATCAGGGAAAAAACTCACGATGCTGCTTTTACATAAAACTTAATTTTGTGATCGCTAATGTGTAGCCTATTTCATGCCTTTTAAAGTTATGTAAACATGTAGGTATAAGCAATAAACTCAAAAAGATCAACTCTTTTTCCTCATCTTTGCCCGATTTTTCTTCAAAATGCTAAAAAAATCAGCCATGTTTGCTAAACTCAATTCAGAAAATAATTAAACCGCAGCTCACGAAATTCCAGCAAGTAGAGTCAACCTATATTGTTACGTAACAATAGAGGCAGATTTTACGTAAGAGAAAGTAAACGACATAGAAAAGTGAAATGAACTTATTGATCCATACACACAGCATTTAGAATAAGAAACAATAAAATATTATAATATGTAAAATATTCAATTCTATTTCAGTTATATTTATCACAATCCTGTTAACTTTTGCGGCGCACCTAGCAACTCGTCATGACGCACCTTTCGGAAACCGCTGTTAGAGTGCAAGGTTTTTCAAACTGGGCGCACGGCCCCTGGAGGCGATGAGCATATTTTCAGGCCTACATTAATTTTGAGTATACAATGTTGAATTTCACCTCTTCGAGTTTGGGGTTGAAGTCGATATTCTTTATGACCCGAGTCAGAATACATTTTTTCCCAAATGGAAGTCGAAGTCCATTGTAATTTGGTACTCCCGTAGTACCATGTTAGGGTTAGGGGCCATAATTTTATTCCGATTTTCTCTATTTTAGTTCTATTACGTGTTCGGAGACTGTCTTTGTTAGCCAAGTGAATATGTCCCCTGCCCGCAAGTTTCACTCCCTTTACAAAACTTGGTGTAAAGTAGGCTAACAAAATTGGTTACCTCCATATTGGTATACACACTCCGTAAATTTCCCCACAAAACTCCACAACAATGCTTGTAGTTATTGGATTTATTTCATTTTCTCAGCTCAGGGACCGGAGGAGCTTATTGCGGGAGGCCTTTTAACAACATCCGTTATCTATCGCGCCATACTTATAGTCATTACCATATTTCTCCTGTACACTGGCGAGGATTCTGCATCGGATATGCGAGAAGATCTTAAAGGCTATTTGCCAATATATGAAGAATGCTCAGGTGAGCCTTTAACGTTTCATATGTGCAATACAATTGGCGGCATTTACTCTTGCGCCTTCGGTGGCATAAATGAGCAATTTTGATTTAACATCGTGCAAAGCTTTATGAAGACGCTCGCCCCCGCACCTCTGATTACTCTGCGTGGGATCGCACGTTCGAATCCCATGTGGGGATGTGTATGTGCGAGAGGATTGCTGGACTCCTCGCCGTTGAAGGATGGTTCACGTAACCGCTGGTTGGTTACGGCTTCCCTCACCATCAAGTCCGGGCATCTGAAACAAATAGGGTTTTGTTTTTTATCAATTCTAAAAAAACATCGTGTTTTAAAACAAGGGCTTGTTTTAAATCAAAATTTTTCTGTATTTTTTGTATTTTTCATTGAAATACCCCTTGCATCGCCGCGAAACTACGTCAAAACGTTGCATTCTGGCAGCTGCACACGCAGCCGGAATTATAATTTCAAAAATGAAGATAAATTTTTTTATTCTGACTTTTATTTCTATTGCGTACATTTATTGCCACTTTATATCTCCACCAAAGTCATAATATTTTACCCGGAATGTTTAGCCGAGATATCAGAGAGACGTTATGAGTAAGAAAAATCATGAAAATTAGCTCACGAGCCTACTACAAAAGCAATTCGATCAAGTGCAGCCCTTCGGCAAAACGATTGGGTTGCGATAATGAAGAATATGCTTATATCGGCGGTAATCTACTGATATGAACGATGAGACACCCTAACCTAGCCTTTGTTAATTGTAAGTGTCCTATGATGCAAAGATGCCACAACTAATCTGTTTTGACGCCACAATATGGATTTCAAGGTCATGTATTGACATTTTTCTCATAAAATGAAGTCATTGTTACGGTTAATACTGTTTGGTTAATTTATGCTTAGCATACTTTGTTTTTCAAGGTTGAAGTGAGTTTTTCAAGGTTATACAAACTCATTAATTCGATCGCATTTCAATTTTCGCAAGGTGGTTTCATCGCTGCAGGGTCGTTCACGTAATGGCTTATAGATTGCGTCTTACTGCGCCAATCACTGAACTACAGCTTGAGAAGGTGTGCATGAGCCTTTCTCAATATTTGTGGCGTTTTGAAAGCGCCACAAATTATTGCAAATAAGGAGCGCTTGGCAAGTTTTTACATCCATTTTTCTTCAACCTATTTAATACAAAAAATCAAATAGTACAGCCATTTTGAACAAAACAGGCAAAAAAAATTGATTTAATTAAAACAATTGTTTTAAAACAATTCTTTTTGAACAAATCCCTAGAAACAAATAACTGGCTAGCTGATCCCATACCCGGCATGAACTGGTAACCGGACACGGGGCCGAGGTTCGCATATGATTAAGACGTCTTATCGGCTTTCCTTTCCCCGGGATAAATATGTAAATTCTATCATATTTGTAATATTTTTTATTTATTTCAGCTGTGTGTGACATGGGCATTGTGTGCTTTTACAGCTTCATGAATACGAAGAATCGATCCGGAGATTATTGCTTCATATTCGGTGCAGCCTATTATATCAACTATCTTCGACCGTTTCTGTCTCTACTTTTGTTCCGATGTTTACCTGGTTGTTTGCACTATGTGGGGAAGTCAAAGGTCATCCGGAATGGTGTGAACCGGAAAACATCCAAAATACCAGACACTTAGTCGAACTTATATCCGTCAAGTACTAAAGACTAATGTGTAGGGCTGGGTATTTTGAATCCAATTGTCAATTATTCAAATCGGTTCAGACCGGACTATCAAATCGCCGCCATCTTGTATTTTTGTTAGCCCATAGGTCGAGATGAATCTCTTATTTTTTATTCATGTCAAATTTCCGATTCTGAAATCATCAGATATATTCGAAAATGCCCAACCCTACTAGGGGGGGAGCTGACTGCGATGACCTTATGGTCGTATCGCTCCCCCCAGTCTATACCGAATTAACTTTGTGTATATTGTATATATTATTTTGTATACCATTGTTCGTTTACGGTTGACAAAACAATAAATCTCTCTCTCTCTAATATGTAAATATGTTTTATACGTTATTCAACTATTCCACTCTAACTAAATCTATGAAAAAAAAGAAGAGTAAAAATTTATCTCCATTTTGACTTATATCGTGATGAGAATTTTTATTCTTTCTGAATATACACGGATGATTTCACGATGAGACGGTTTTCGACGCCTTCGCTTAAAATAAGACATGGTCGATGGCGCGAACTTTCTTTTTTGGCCTAGTGACCAGGGGTCGGGAACCCATGGATCGCGAGCCATATATGACTCTTTTGGTGACGGCATATGGCTCCCAGAAAAATCTAATATTCTAAGACTAGGCTTACTATTGTTACGAGATTTCAAACTTTTTTATAGCCAAATTTGGCAGGAAATTCCCAATACGTTTGAGAACGCGCGCCCAGCACATGTCTATGTTATGTAAGATATTTACCAGACAGGCATTGTGACAAACAAGGGGATTCTGGAACAAATATTGTGACATCACAAAGCGATATAGTTTTAAAAACACTACGGAGTAGCCTAAACGAAAAAGGGTGATGAGTATCGTAGATTTCAACTTGGGCTGCAAGTGAGCAACCGTTCAAGGCCCGCAGCGACTACATGCAGCATCAGAAATCACATTAAATGTATATTGACATTGTATGTGTTGACTTTCGAGTAAACATTTCAGGTCTGATTAATTGAAGAAATGTTATATGGCTCGCACGGAAATGCAATTGAGAATATGTATATTTTATGGCTCTCTTGACCAAAAAGGTTCCCGACCCCTGGCCTAGTCCATAGCAAGAAATCTCTGTTACTCGTTTTAAATGGTTAATAATCTATGTTTATCTATTATAATCTATGCCCTAGTGTTATTTTCGAAAGAAAATTAAGACCCTGTTTTATTTTCAGGGAAACACGGTAACTGATACTTTTAGCCTAGAGTCTAGACCAGGGGTGGGCACGGTTTTTGGACCGGGGAACAAAAATTTTGCCCATCTAGACTAGTGGGCCATGTAAGTTTGACGTAAAACGTTGGCCCGCCGGGGCCAACCCTATAGGGCAGGGATTCCCAACCGGTGGTACGCGTACCACTAGTGGTACGCGGGAGCTTTTCAGGTGGTACGCGTGCAGCTTTCTGTTGTATTCGATATATATGACATCACAATCATGTTATTTATTGACGCTTTTGCAAGAGTTCTTGTTAGAATAGCCAACTCGTCGCCTGTGATTGCTTTGCCAAAGTTTTGGCTAAGTATTTTAAAATGTCGAAGCGAAAGTATAGTGAAAATTATATTGAGTATGGCTTCATTGCTATTGAACATCGAGGAGATATCTTACCTCAGTGCGTGATCTGTATGAAAACCCTTTCAAATGCAGCTTTGAAACCAAGTTTGCTTAAGCGACACCTTGAAACCAATCATACAGATAAGATGAACCGAGATAAGAGTTATTTTGAGCGACTTGGGGAGAACGTGAAGAGACAGCGCATGGATCACACAGGCCAGTTTTACCAAAAGAATGCGGGGATTGTAAAGGCATCCTACGAAGTATCTCTTCTGGTGGCCCAACACAAAAAAGCTCATGTCATTGCAGAGTCTCTTATTTTGCCTGCAGCTAAGATATTAGTCAGAAATTTGATTGGAGAAGAGTCAGCGGCAAAGTTGGATAGTGTATCGCTTTCTAACAATACCGTGAAACGACGCATCGAGGAAATGTCAGTTGATATTACTGACCAGGTGATTGCAGGAGTAAGAAATTCGAAGTTTGGATTTGCCTTACAACTTGATGAATCGACAGATGTCACAAACTGCTGCCAACTGCTTGCCTACGTCCGCTTTATTCAGAACGATACTGTAAAAACGGAATTAATGTTGAATCATGAGCTGTCTACTACATCAAAAGGGAAAGATATTTTCAACTCTTTGGATAATTTTTTCAAGGAAAATGAATTAGATTGGGGAAATCTTGTCGGATGTACCACGGATGGGGCTCCCTCCATGCTCGGCAGAAAATCTGGATTTCAAGCCCTTGTCAAAGCAGTGTCACCTCGCGTCGTAAGTGTTCACTGTTTCATACACAGATTTGCTCTTTGCACAAAAGTTCTTCCTGCAAATTTGTTAATGTGCTTGAACAGGGTCATCAAAATCGTAAATTTTGTTAAAACATCAGCTTTAAATACTCGATTGTTTAAGGTTCTTTGCGAAGATCTCGGCTCTGATCACACTTGTCTCCTTTATCACACAGAAGTACGTTGGCTCTCTCGAGGAAACACAACTAAACGTCTTTTTGAAATGAGGGATGAATTACTTTTATTTTTCCAACAGAAAGACCATGACTTTCAAAACGACCTGCAGGATGAGGATTTTATTGCGAAGTTGGCTTATTTGTCAGATATATTTGAAACATTCAATCACTTAAATTTGTCATTTCAAGGGAAAAACTGCACAGTCGCAGACTTTGTTTCAAAACTGGGAGCCTTTATCAGAAAGCTGAATTTATGGAGAAAAATGTGGAAAACAAGCGCTATGGTATGTTTAAATTTCTGTCAGCCCTTGAAATAGAAATCAGTGATGACTTGTCCAGAGAAATTACCCAGCACCTCTCGCTGCTAACTGCTGAATTGCAGCATTACTTTCCAGATACCTCATGCTGCCCATACGTCACAGATCCTTTCTCAGTGGACCCAGCCGACCTACTTGTTGGTACAGGGGAACAAGAGGAACTGATAGACATACAGGAGGATCTGGAAGCAAAAAAACAATGCAAAGAATATTCTGCAATAAACTTTTGGCTTAGTATGGCTTCTTCATACCCAACGCTAGCTTCTCACGCTATTCCACAACTACTGATTTTTCCTTCTACTTGGGAATGTGAGCAGGGATTTTCTATTCTTATGAACATCAAATCAAAAAATCGAAACCGACTAAGTGCCCCCGGACATGACTTCAGATGTGCTATTAGCAACGTTATGCCGCGCATCGATCAACTGGCGCAAGACAAACAAAAACAAAAATCCCATTAAATTTAGCCGTGCACTTTTCGTTGTTTATTCTGATTGGTAATTTTGGTACATTCGTTAAATTTACATCCTGATTTATCATGTTATCATAATAAATTGGTTTTGTAAAATTTGTATCAAATTAGCTGTTTCGAAAATAGTGGTACATGTTGACAAATCGTGGTGCCCAAGTGGTACGAGAACGTAAAAAGGTTGGGAACCCCTGCTATAGGGGTTGTAGGGAAATCACTGATGCAGACCTTGATTAAATTTTTTCACGGACCATAATATATGTGTTGATGTTGTGTATATATTTTTTATGTTTATAAGCTTCCCTTATCCAATTCTATTCTGTCGAATCCAAGTATTGTAGTGTGGCGTACCAAAATTGATATCACCACTCAGGTTCTTTCTGCCAGCTTCTTGGACGTTGTAATTGCTATAGATGTCGATCACAAAGTAATCTTCTTGCGGTTCCAAATACAGAAGAGTAACTAAGTTAACTAACTAGATTAACTATACACCTGTAAGAACTTAATACAACCAAATACTCCAATAAGAAATACAATAAACAAATAAAAACACAGTACAAATACCGTAGGATACATACGTAACACAAGATACGGAATTGGTCTATGACGTCACAGTCATGAACTATTTACTTATAATGGGATACTAAAAACCGGGTAAAACATACCTAGATATACATAAGAATAACTAGTATGACACTAAAGATACAACACAAATCCTATCTTATCAACAAACACGTAATAGACATGGAAATGCGCATAGAAATACGGAAATCACACAGGAAATAAACTGCGAAAATAGACTAGTTACGGAAGTATTAAATACAAGCTAACTAGTGAACAGAGCCATGCCAAACTGGAGAAATAAAAACCTGTACTACTAATATCATTTTACAACAATAATTACATAGATTCACGGCATTAAAACACTATAATAATAACTGAATACACAGAGAAATATCTACACTGCCGGCAGTCTGACAAACCGGCTGAAAGAGTAAGTTACACAGCTGCTCACTAGTGACTCAAGTGGTAAAAATAAATATGGGCATACAGAATAAAACAGAGTTATAGACGTGGTCGTCTCATTTTTCCCCCCTTTTTCAGATGGGAAATTACAAATAAATTTTCCATCTTCAAAATTGAAAATCCATAAAAATATGAAGAAAATGTAAAGAACTGTACACTCAAATGTCACTCTAAAATCAAAACAATGAATTGTCAAAAGCATGATAAAAGCATTATCACAGTCAAATCAAATGTAATCATCCAAATATCTAGGCCTTCGCCTAGTACGTTGCTTATTATCAGAGTTCGCATCAACTGTAACTTCTTCTGGTACAGTGTCTGGCCTTGAAGAAAAAGGTAATTCTTCAAATATATCATGAGCAATCTGCTCATCATTTTCCATAATAGGTTCCACATCAGGTAAAATATCAAATCCAGTTAAGTCAATAACATTGTCTTCTTCATCTTCATGAAGGTAAGGTCTTAACTTGTCAACATGTACAATTCGAGAACGTGTTCCAGAATTCTTCTGAATCCTATACAAGTGATTAGGTAAACAGTCTACAATTCGATAAGGTCCAATCCAAGGAATACTCAGCTTGCGATGCTTTGGTGGATAATAATACCACACCAATTCATCTCTCTGGAAAGTAAGTGGTTTTACACCCAGATCAAAATTTCGCTTTTGTCTGGTTGCAGCAGCATTTAGATGTTGCCTAGCATGAAGAAAAGCTTTTTCAGTTGCACAGGAAAACCATTCGACAAATTCAGTGTAACAAGGATGAGTTGATGACTCTGGTTTGCCAAACATAACATCAACAGGCATCTCGATTTCTCGTCCAAGCATTAACTTGTTCGGTGAATATCCTGTACTATCATGTACAGTGGAGCGATATGCCATGCAAAGGTATGGGAGATGATCGTCCCAATCTTTTCGATTCTCATTTACAAAAGCTTTCAACATTTGTTGTATAGTCCTGTTGAAACGTTCAACTTGTCCATCTGAACGAGGATGATATGGAGTTGTTCGAGTCTTTTGAATCCCGTACAATTGACACATTTCTGAAAATAATTTCGATTCAAAGTCTCTTCCTTGATCTGAGTGGAGAATTCTTGGTACCCCAAATCTCGAAAAGAATTGAGTAACCAATGCATCAGCAGTGGTGTCAGCTCGCTGATTTGGTAAAGCAAAACATTCCACCCATTTAGAGAAATAGTCCCACAAAACCAAAATGTGTTCATTTTCAGTTACAGGCAATGGTCCAAGAAAATCAATGGCGATCCTTTCCATAGGAGCTCCAGATATAAGTTGTTTCAAATCTCCCTGTCTTCTTCCGTAAAGCATCTTGGTCGAAGCACAAGACTTGCAAAATTTGCACCATTTGAGAATGTCCCTTTTGAAACCAGGCCAATAAAATCTGCGCCTTATACTCTTGAAAGTTCGATTGGCACCAAGATGACCTGCAGTGCGCAAAGAATGGAGCTTATGAAACAAGTCGTGTCTCAAATTTGATGGAACAATCAATTGGATATGCGATTCCTCCGATTTACAATCAGGAATCCAACGACGATAGAGAAGTCCATTATCTACAAAAATCAAGTCCCACTGCGACATTAAACGTTTGGTCACTGTTGATTCAGGCATGTATTCTTGAATATCAGGTTTCCGAGCAGTAAGTTGTTTCCATCTCAAAACAGCAGAAATATCTGGATCTTCACTTTGCCAAGATTTAATTTGCTCATCTGTGTATGCATCTAGCCAATTACAATCGGAACAGTCTGATGATGATTGACTGGGCTGTTTTGAGATTGTACCCACAATAACCTTATTCACAGTTACATCTCAATTGGTACCACAATCAGAACAATCTTCTCGCTTGCATTTGCGAACTTGGCGTGACAATCCATCAGCATTGCCATGTTTCACGCCAGGTCTGTGTTCAATCTTAAAGTCATAAGCACCAAGTGTTAATATCCATCTTGCCAACATTCCTTGTGGTTCACGAAAATTGATCAACCATTTCAGAGCAGCATGATCTGTGCGAATTCTGAACGGTCTCCCGAGAAGAAAATGACTGAAGTGACGAACAGCCCACACCACAGCTAATAGTTCTCGGTGTGTAGCACAGTATCTACGTTGAGACTTGGACATAGCCTTACTGGCATAAGAAAGTACACGTTCATGCTCGTCCTGCACTTGAGATAAAACTGCACCAATTCCAAAACCACTAGCATCAGTATACAATACAAATTCGCCGATTGTTCTAGGAAAGCTAAGAATTGGGGCTGATGTCAGACAGTGTTTCAGAGTTTCAAAAGCCTCTTGACATTCAGTACTCCATACAAAGGGAATATTCTTCCTGGTCAATCGAATAAGAGGTCCAGCAATTGTTGAATAATCTTGAACAAACTTCCGGTAGTAGTTCGCTGTGCCTAGAAAACTGCGAATATCGCTGACAGAATTAGGCGTTTTCCATTCTTTGATAGCCGCAACATTTCCAAGGTCGCAACAGACACCTTCAGATGAAATAAGATAACCAAGATAAGAGGTGCTTCGACGGAAAAGTTCACATTTCGAGGGCTTCAAGCGTAAACCCGCACGGCGAAGTCTTATAAAAACTTCCCGAAGATTGGAGAGTGCCATTGAGAAATCACTACCATGAGCCAAAACATCATCAAGAAAATTGAAACACCCGTTCCACAGGAGATCACCAAGGATATTGTCCATCATCCGTTCGAATGTTGCGGGAGCATTAGCCAAACCGAAGGGCACTACAAAGTGAAAATGACCACGGCCTGGGATGCTGAATGCTGTCTTTTCACGGTCTGCAGGGTCAACCTCCACTTGCCAATACCCGCTTGCGAGATCAAGAGTTGAGAACCATTGTGCTCCGTTTAAGGACTCAATGATATCCTCAATACGCGGCAAGGGATATGCGTCTTTGTATGTGACGTCATTAAGCAATCTAAAGTCCACACAAAATCTAGTAGAACCATCCTTTTTGGGAACTAGGACAATGGGAGAAGAATATGGGGAATCGCTGGGTTCTATGACACCCTGAGCCAGTATATTATCAACAGCTTCTTCGGCTATCTTCCTACGCGCCCACCCCATTCGACGAGGAGCCTGCCGAATCGGCTGTGGTGTGGTTGTGATGATCCTATGCTTCGCTGCTGAAGTACGGCCAAGTTCACCATCTGGTCCTACAAATAAATCATGGAATTCACAAATCAAATTGACCAACTGTTCACGTTGACTCGGGGTTAGATCCTCAACGGAATCGACCATATCATGTAGATGTTCTGGTAATTCAGAAGCTATAACCCGATTATCGGATTCGTCAACTTGAATTTGTGCTACAAGTTGAGGATGTGCAATACCAATCAAAGATCCAGCCCTGATCTTAAGTTGTCTGCCTTTCTGGTTGATCGCTAGAATCGGAACAGTAGACTTTCCAGGATCCGCCACAGAAGAAATCAGCTGAACGCCATCAGCGAGGAAAGAAGAATTCAGCGGTTCAACAAGAGCAGCAACGTCTGACGAAATGTTTTTCGACCATGGGAGACTAAGTTGTGCAGGGATAACAACCTTAGAATATGGCGGTATCGTAACATCTTCCCGAACGGTTACACGACAACATGGTACAGACTTTTCAGTAAACAGTTTGATTTCATGACCCCTTATCATCATGTGTCCCGATGATAAGTAAAGAACACAGTCATGTTCTCGGAGATAATCCATGCCTAAAATACCATTAGTCATGCCTAAGTTGGCAACAATCACAGTGCGTCGTGATACAAACGAATCAATCGATAAATCAACCTCCAATGTACCCAGTGGTGATAAATCATGCCCTCCAACTGCAACAAGAGATTCTTCGAGCGGTGCGAATTGTGCTTCCTTCCCACCTATAGCCTCAAAGATGGAAATGTCAATAAGAGTAGTCATGGCACCACTATCTACAAGAAAGTTGAACGGTTGATTGT